TACCAGAGACAGAGCGGCGAACAGAACAGGCAGACTGACGAAATACATTGCCGAGGGGAGCAGCGGGTGAGACAGGAGAGGTCTGCTGCGCCATGTGGGTAGCTCCCTGGCCGGCTGGGGATGGAACTCATGCTGCAGAAGCTGCGGACAGCTTCACCGGTTGCATCTTAACCCCTTGCGCCATTAGGGAGGTCCCTTTCATTGAAATTTTGATGGAATTTATTAATGAAGCCATCTGTCCTGGACTTTTGTTTCTAGGGATATTTTCACTGCTGTTTCAATTTCCACACTTGTGATTGCCGTATTCGGATTTTCTGTTTCTCCTTGGCCCTGTCTTGGTAGGCCTTCTTGTTCAAAGTGTGTCCATTTCTTGTAGTTTATCAGATGTGTTGGCATACAGTTGTCTAGAGTAGTCTATTTTATGGTCCTTTGTGTTTCTGTGGTATCTGTTACCATTTCTCTCATTTCTGATTCTATTTATTGGAGTTTTCTCTTTTGTGAGCCTACGGCAAGGCTTATTGATTTTCTTTCTTTTCAAAGAGCTGATCCTTGGTTTCATTGGTCTCTGGCATTGTCATTTTGCTTTCTATTTCATTTATTTTGGTTCTGATTTTTATTATTTCTTTCCTTCTGCTCAGTTTTGCCTTTGCCCCTTTCAGGTTCCTTCATGTGTGAGGTGAAGCTGTTTATTGGAGATTTTTCTTGTTTCTCAATGTCCGCCTGAGCCCTTCAAAGAAGCGTCTTCTTGGTTCATGCTGCGATTGTGGCCGGGGCTGCGCTCAGCGTGGCCCGCTGGGCGGACTGTGCGCTCTGCATGGGCGGGATCCCCCCTCTCCCTGCTGGAGAGCCCTCTGGGACTGAAAATTCAAGATACTTAGGGAAGTAAGAGTTATAAAACCTCCTGACTATAAAAGAGAAGCCCCAGGTATTATTTTCACTGCTGCTGGTTTAACGTGAAGCCATGCTGGAGCGCTCCTCGCCTGCAGGCCAGCTGGGGTTTCTCCTCCAGCGTCTGCGCCCCCAGCGTGCGTTGCTGTAGTCGCAGCCGGCTAAATAATTCACGGCCGTTAGCAACAGCAGGCCCAGCAGGCCGAAGGTCTCCCTGTAAATTATGGATGCGGCTCCTGCCGGCTTTGTGGTAAGTCACTATTGGTTTCCTCTCCACGAGCGAGCGCCAAGAGGGAGAATCGCCACTGTCAGCGGGTGCTGGGGTCGCAGGAGAGAGGGCGCCAATTTGCTTCCTGGCGCGATGCGCGTGGGTGTGGCCCGGGCCTGTGCCCGGCGCCCCTGGCGCTGGACAGGCTGACCGGCATGGGTTCAGAGGGCTGGCTGGCGGCGAGCAGCTGGAAGTACTTGGTCAGACGGCACCACAGTGGCTCGTACCAGCTGCACCCAGGTAAGGCCTCGCATCCCCGGGGCAGGCCCAGCTCTGTGGTCCAACCCGCTCGGTGCGTGCCTGCTGCCCGCTGCGCTCAGCTGTGGGTGGGGCTGGCCTTTCTGGTTTTCAGCAACTGAAACAAGCTCTGAGAACTTTCTCACCAGGAAAGCTTCTCCTGGACTCACACTGACCAGTTTCAGGGAGAGAAACCCTCCCAGTGACGGCAGAACACTTGTGGCCGGGCGCTCCAGGCACCTCCCTCTTGGGCCCAGCCTCGGGCCAGGGAGGCGTGGTGGGCTCCGCGCGTCGTCCACGCCCGCCCTCCTGTCTCCAGAGGACTCAGCGCAGGCGGAGGGGCGGCGTGTGAAACTCACAGCTGGAAGGGAGCCCCAGGATGAGTGAGCCCTGTGTGTGGCCCGGCAGCCTGCGGCCCCCTCTGGGGCTGCACCTTCTGCAGAAACACGCTGCCTGGATGCCCAGCAGAGCCACGGCGAGAGTCTGGCCCTGCCGCCCAGTGCCAGTGCTCTGGCTGTGGCGGGGCCGTGCCAGGGGGCTCCTCAGGCCCTGCATCTGCTGTCACGTGCTCAGGCCCCCGGGCGCTGGGGTGGAGGCCCAGGGGCACGATGGGGTGGGTGGGGGTCATTTCAGTTTAAAGCCAAATAGGTGGGTGAGTTTTGGGTAGGGGATGGCACGGAGACGGCAGGAGTGATCCAGGGCAGCAAGGGGCACTAACACTGGCCAAGGACATGTATAAATAGGTGACCGGTCACCGTCTGAGCTCTTGACCTGCTTGCACCATTCCAAGACCACTCAGGCTCAGAGAACAACACTGGGATTTAGTTAACAAACCAGGGAAACGCAAAGAGTTACTGAGGCCAAAAATAGCCTTTCCCTGCCCCGAAGCTGTGCCCGAATTCTCAGTCCTAAACACAAACGCTCTTGAGATGGCCTCCTCCCGCCACCGAGGCTTGGCGCAAGCGGCCGCCAGACTAGGCCGGATCCACCTCAGGAAGACAGCAGAAGACTCAGCGGGAGCTGCTCCCGGAGCGGCATGGACGTCCCCGCACAGCACCTGACAAGGACATTTAAAACAGCAGCTGCAGCGGTCGAACAGCCCGACACACGGCCCCACTCGCAGTTCAGCGAGGCTCCGCCCGGGTCTGCGCCTCCCTGCCAGGCCGTGACAGCAGCAGAACCGGGAGCGGTTTCCGTCGCTCGGCCACCTGCACAGCCTCCCGACCCTTCCTCTCTGAGGCTGGTGGCCGGAGGCCTCGCCCGTCCTGCAGAGCCCACGACAGCTTTCTGCGCGGTGGAGGCCGGAATCACGGACCCCGGTATCCCCGAAGATCCGAAAACACTGAATCCCAAACACTGAATCCTGGGGGACACTTCTGCAGTCCCTGATATTTCTTATCAGAGTCCCCCCCATACTTGGTCCACATTTCCCCCGGGGCTCCATCCTCACCAGCAACCCCTTCAGGGGTGCCACCTGTAACAGCCGTTGGCATCAGCCCCATTACAGGAGGAGGGACCCCCCCCCGCCACCGTAGGTTCAGCTGAGAAGGACTGACCAGTCCTTCCAGCCGCAGTGACTGCCCTGTGTGCTCTGACCCCCCCACCCCTCACCTGGAGAGGCCCAGCTGTGTGCCCCTGTCCTCCCGGGACCTGCCTGGACTTTTAGCACGTGCTACCCAGGGGCGGGCCAGGCTGGAGTGGACACCTGCTGTGCCCATGGGGCCTGGCCACCTCTAAATTTTGAACTTTAATTTTAGGCTTTTAAACTGTTAGTTGTTAATTTGTGAGGCTTAAAAATTAACTTGCATTTCAAGTCTTAGAGAAATCAGTTTAGCGAGGGTGCGGGTCCGTCCCGGCCTCCTCCTGCGCACACGCAGCACCGTCCGCCTGCCAGGCCTGGTGGGCACACCGGGGAGCAGGGCCCGGGTGGAAGAACTGGGGGGCTGCTGCATCTCAGCGCAGCACGGCCTCCCCACGTCCTGCCCGCGCACAGCAGGGAGGCAGGTGGTCTCAGCGCTGTGTGCAGTGTTGTGGGGTCCAGGGCTCTGTCTGCGGGCGTGGCTCCCCAGGCCCTGAGGCACCGCAGCCTGGTGCACACCTAGCTGCCGCCTCTGAGGGTCAGTGTCTCCAGGCTGTTCCCTGGTGGTCACCGGCGCCCACCCCACCCTTGTGGCCGGGCCACAGGCCTTTGCACGTGTGGGCGCCCCTCACCCCTGGCAGAGGACACGCTGCCCTGATTCCTCTGTGGCCACAGCGAGACCACCTGCCCGCATGGCAGGGAGTCTGGGTCCGGGCAGTCTCCTCTGCGGGCATCCAGGAGCCTTTTGGGCTCCACACTCCACCCCGCCGCCTGCGTGGCACCTCCTTGCCGCTCTGCTTCATGGCCCGCACAGGGCCTGTGACCTGCGTGTTCACTTGCCTGTGTGCTGGGGCCGATGTGGCTGTTTCTGGAGATTGTCCAGTCACTGCTGGCATTGCTGGTGTCACCACCCACCTGCCGTTGGGGCCTGGTTCTGGCCCTCGTGTTCCAGTCCCCCAGCCTGGATGCTGCTTCCCAGCGCGGCTTGGGCGCTCCGCTGGGCTGGTTCTAACACGGGGGTCACACACGAGTCAGGGAGGATAATATCTGTGGCTTGACCGTCACTGCTCCAGCCACTGGGCACAGGTCAGACATAAAGAGCTGAGAGTCCCCGAGCCCCAGCCCCAGAGCGTGAGTGTGGCCGTGGGAGTGCGCGTGTCTGCGTGTGGCACTGCGGGCGGCTCAGCCCTGCCTGTGGCTCTGCTTTTCCCTGCGCAGATTTAACGACCCTGAGGTGTCGCGGGCTCGTTAGGCCCAGGCGGAAGCTGGCGAGTAACTGGCAGGATGCTGCAGCGATACGCTGCAGAGGAGCTGTGAGAGTCCCCTCTCCTCTCTCAAAGCAGCTCGCTGAGCACGGTCCCCCGGGGCTGAGGTTGACGCAGGTGACGAACCAGGGGAGGAGCCGAGGACCGTGCGGGGGGCTCCCGAGGGCTTGGGGGAGCTGGGGCGTCCTTCTCCGAGCTGGCACGACCCCTGAGGGATCTGGCTCTTCCCTGTGGTAGTTCGATGACCCCTGCTTTTCCTGTCCTCCCCGGGGCGCCGTCTGGTCTGGGCCCCGGGTGGGTCTGTCTGTCCGCCCGTCTGTTTTCTGGCGCGATGCTTTTGCGCTGCGGCTGCCTGACCGACTGGCTTGGGCCATGGCCCTTCAGATGCCAGCCACACGGCTGTGCCCCCAGGGTCTGTGCTCCCTCACCGGCCTCTGCCCTGCCGGCCCCTCCCTAGCACGGGTCTCTGTGCCTGGTTGGCCGAACCGGCCCAGACCCGTCCCCACGTGCGCCTGTGGGGACTCTGGGGCGGCGTGAGGGGCGCAGGGCCCGGGACACAGGTCATACTAGCCCCTCTGCCCCTGGGAGCCGCGGCCTGCGCAGCGCTGGCCCCTGCTGCCCTCCCTGGCCGCTGTGGTGGGCCGGCCGTGGGGTGGCCAGCATCCCTCCCTGGGCCCTCTGCGGGCCTCAAGGGCCGCGGTGGACGCGGCGGCCGCTCGGGGCTGGCAGGCCGGGCGCCCCACGCAGGCTTGCTGTCCCGCAGAGCTGAGCGGCGCCGACCTGAAGGACTGCGCGAGCAGCCACAGCCTGAGCAGCAACGCCAGCCTGCCCAGCGTGCAGAGCTGCCGGCGCCTGCGCGAGCGGAGGGTGGCCAGCTGGGCCGTGTCCTTCGAGCGGCTGCTGCAGGACCCGCTGGGCGTCCGCTACTTCTCGGTGAGTGCCCGGAGGGCCCGCGGGCCGGGCGGGGGCGGGCCGGGGCGCGGGGGGCCGGGCGCGCGTGACGGCCAGGCCTCCCCAGGACTTCCTGCGGAAGGAGTTCAGCGAGGAGAACATCCTCTTCTGGCAGGCCTGCGAGCGCTTCCGCCGCGCGCCCGCGCACGACCAGCGGGAGGTGAGGCGGGAGTGTTTCCACGCGGCATGCGGCTCGCGCGTGACAGTCAGCCCGGCGCAGCTGGGACGGCGCGGGGCGGGGCGCGGCCACGGGGGGCGCCCACGGCGGGGCCACGGGGGGGGGTCACGGGGGGCGAGGCCACGGGAGGCACGGCCACAGGGGGCGGCCACGGCTGGGGCGGCCACGGGGGGCGCGGCCACGGGGGGCGCAGCTGGGCCTCGGGCGGGGCTCGGGTGGTGTGGGGCCCGGAGGCGGGGCCCGGGGGGCAGCCGGGTGGGGCCCCCCGAGTCTGCCCCGGCCTGGCCCTCACCCCCGCGGAGCTGCTTCCCGGGCTTGGACCACGTGGCTCAGCCCGGCCCCCGCAGCTCGCCCACAGGGCCCGGGAGATCTTCAGCAGGTTCCTGTGCAGCAAGGCCACCACCCCCGTCAACATCGACAGCCAGGCCCAGCTGGCCGACGACACCCTCAACGCCCCGCACCCCGACATGTTCAAGGAGCAGCAGCTGCAGGTGCCTGCCTTGGTTTCCCGCCGGGCCGGGTGGGCTCGCGTTCAGAGGCTGCAGCCCGCGGGGAGCCCCCGCTGGCCAGCGTGGAGCCAGGGCGGGTAGCGCAGCCTGGGCCTCAGCCGGCAGCGACCGGGGCTGCACACAGCGCGCGCCCGCGCCCCCCACCATTCAGCCCGCGCGTGGGCTTGGCTGTGGCCTCCGTGGACTTGCACGGTCGCTGTGAAGTCCGGGAAGCCGTTCCCAGGGCTGGTCTCACTTCCTGTGGGTGTCCAGTTGCTTTTGGTTTTGTCTGAATTAACTGAGACCCTCCAGACCCGCTGCCGGCCTTGGTGTCGGCCCCACCAGACCCTGGGCCGAGTGTCCTGCTGCTCCCGCCGCCTGGCCCTGGCCCTGACCTGCCACGTTGCTGGCAGATCTTCAACCTGATGAAGTTTGACAGCTACACCCGCTTCCTGAAGTCCCCGCTGTACCAGGAGTGCATCTTGGCGGAGGTGGAGGGCCGGCCGCTCCCCGACGCCCGGCAGGTGCCCGGCAGCCCGGCCTCCAAGCACAGCGTCGGCTCCGACCACTCCAACGTGTCCACACCCAAGAAGGTGCGGCGGGGCCCACGGGACGCCGGGGCGGGGGCGGCCTGCGGACCCGGGGCCGGTGCGTCCAACCCACACTCTCCGTCTGGCAGCAGCTAAGTGGGAAGTCACGGTCCGGTCGCTCCCTGAACGAAGACCCGGGCGACGAGGACAGCGAGAGGAGGCGCAAGGGGGCGTTTTTCTCCTGGTCCAGGACCCGGAGCACCGGCCGCTCCCAGAAGAAGAGGGGCCTCGGCGACCAGGCCAAGGGTGGGTGCGGGCAGCTCCGCGGGCGGGCGGCAGGCGGGGTCGCGGCAGGCAGGGTCTCGGCAGAGCCGGGCGCCGGGTGGAGGCGGAGCCGTCAGCCCACGGCCCTCTGCACGCCGGGTGCATCTCGGCCGTCCCTTCTGTGGCCGGATCTGAAGGGGCCCTTCCAGGCGATGCCCGTGGGCTCTCTCCGCCTGCGTTTCTGGGAGGACGCTGAGGGTCCGCTGGACCGCACCCTGGGGAGGCCTGGGGTGCTGGCCTTTTGCCGGCCCAGAAGCCGAGAGAGGCGGGGGGCAGCAGGGCTGGCGGGGGGCCAGGGCGTTGTGTAAGTAGGGGAGTCATGTTCCAAGACGTGACTTGAACACGGGGCTGAGGTGGGGCGGGGGCACCCAGAGTGGTGGGGGTTCCCGGAGCAGGCGCCCTCACGTCCAGGGCGCCAGGGGCTGGGGAGAAAGGCGAGGCTGAGGGGGAGGCCCTAGGCGCAGAAGCCCGTGGTCAGAGGGAGATGGGTGAGAGTGTACCTCACGCCACCTGTCCCCCCAGCACCCAGGGCCGGGCACCGCCCACTCCCGTGGGGCCTGTGAATCCTGATTCCAGGACTGGCCCCTGCCCGGTTGGGGCTGGGCTGGGCTGTGTCTCGAGCCCTCCTGGAGGTCCAGAGGAGCCAGTGGCTGCCACGGCCCCTGGTGACAACAGGGGTGCGGTTGGCGGCCTCCTTGGAGCTTTGTGGGAGACGTGGGGCAGCCACTGGCAGCACGACGCAGCCACTGGGGTGCCCGCAGCTGAGCTGAAATGTCCAGACTCCACCAAGGGTGGAGCGCGGGGCCGGCGGGCACGTCGGGGGTCTGCTCCGGTCTGGGGCCTGTCCGGCCGGGGCCTCTGTGCGGACAGTGAAGTCGCACGCTCTGATTTTCCGCGTCTCCCTGCAGACACCCCCCACGCCAGCGGAGGCCTCGGCCGCAGGGGGTCACAGGGCTCCGTGTCCTCTGCGGGGAGCCTGGACCTGGTGAGTGCCCGCTGCCCTGCCCGCCCCTGCGAGGTGCCCGTGCCCACGGCCCCGATGCTTGAGGCCGGTCCAGAAGAGCTGCCCCATGCTCGGGGCACCGGGGCCCCAAAATACTTCGGCGTCTATTTCTGGCGTCGACGTGTTCTCCTCCATGAGCCTCTTCCTGCGCTCCTGCAGGCGCCCGCCTCTGTCCCACGCCTGACCCTCCCTCAGCACAGACCCCGGGCTCCGCCCCGCCTCCGCTGCCCTGGCCCGTTCCCTCGAGGGGGGGTCGTGCCTGCCCACCACCGGCGCCCGCGGGGCCTTTGCATGGCACCATGGCCAGCGCCCTGGCTGCTCGGAGTGGTCAGGCAGCAGCTAAAGTGGAGTGTGGGTCCTTTTCCGTGGTGCTCGAGGACAGGATGTGCAGCAGGGATCCCGTCAGCCCTGCAGCCCCCCGAACCCAGGGCGTGGGCGAAGCGTGTCACAGTGCATCACGGGGGTGGGGGCCGCCGCCACCCGCCGACCTTTCGCAGATACCGCTGGGGAGGAGGGGGCGGTTGGACACCGGGAGGAGGTGGTGACCACGAGGCCACAGCCCAGGCCGCTCATGCCTTGGGAGGTGGGGCGACACCCGCTCAGACCAGAGCTCTGCCCATGAGCTCTCCCCGAAAAGCAGCCATTTCCTGGGCGCTGGACTTGAGCTGACGGGGTCACGCCCCCGCCGGAGGGCGGCAGAGAGTTGGCCTGGCCCAGCCCCGCGGGACACGTGACGCCCGTGCTCGAGCGGGAGCCCCTGCACGCCTGCCCGGCCCACTGCCCAGCCGGCCTGTGCCCCTGGGCCTGGCCCCGTTGTGTCTCTGGGGCCGACATGCTGCCGGCCTCCCGGCGTCCCTATGACGCCCGCCCGCCCTGTCTCCTGCTCCCAGCCCGAGGCCGGCAGGACCCCGGCGCCCGAGAGGGACAAGGCGGGCCAGCACTGCCGCGTGCAGCTCCCCGACGGCTCGTCCTGTGCGGTGCTGCTGAGGCCCGGGCTGTCGGTCAAGGAGGTGCTGGCCGGGCTCTGCGAGCGGCACGGCATCAACGGGGCCGCCGTGGACCTTTTCCTGGTGGGCGGCGACAAGGTACTGACCTGCTGACACACTCACCGACCTGTGGGCTGAGCCCGCTCCCCCTGAGGCCCTGGCCCCCTGGGCTGTGCCCCCTGTAAGAGCTGCCGGCTCTGGGCGCTGGTGTTAGTGGTGCCTGGGTGGCCCCAGACACTCTCCCTGGCGCGCAGCTGCACGGCACACGGGGCGCGAGGCGCGGGCCAGCCTGCAGCCCTGAGAGGCTGTGTCTCCTGCCCCACAGCCGCTGGTGCTGCACCAGGACAGCAGCGTCCTGGAGTCTCGGGACCTGCGTCTGGAGAAGCGGACTTTATTCCGGTGAGAGGAAAGTCCCTGTCCTCAGCTGTCCAGGGCCCCCCGCTGTCTGCCCTGCTGGCCATACCCCACCCAGTGCCTCGCAGACCCAGAGTCTGTGCCAGCGCAGCGTCCACAGCCTGCCACAGGGACGTGGGGGCGGCCACAGGCAACACCCAGACTCCAAGGGGCGGAGGGCAGCAGCCCAGGTGCTCGGGCCAGCGGAGCTCTGGCCACACGGGGGACGACCGCCCTGGGGTGGGCTCCCGGAAACCCTGGAGAGGCCCTGGGTGCCTCCTCCCACCCAGGCCTGGCCCGCCCTCCGTTCAGGGCGCACGGCCCAGCAAAACCTGCTCTGTCCTGCTGCCCCACACAGGCTGGACCTCGTCCCGATTAACCGGTCAGTGGGGCTCAAGGCCAAGCCCACCAAGCCTGTCACGGAGGTGCTGCGGCCCGTGGTGGCCAAGTACGGCCTGCACCTGAGCGAGCTGGTGGCCCGGCTGGTGAGTGCCCGCGCCCGGCGCAGGTTGGCCCTTCCAGCAGCCTCCGCGCAGGCAGGCGGCAGTGGTGTCGCCCCTGCTGTCTGCTCCTCACCTGTGGACGCCGGTCTCCTGGAGGCGGTCTAGCTGGGGTCAGGGGGCCCAGAGCGAGAACAAGCTAAAGCCCGAGATGTGCCCAGCACCTGCAGCCTCGGGCAGCCCTGCACCCGCTTGGGGTCTGGCCCGCGGAGGCCTGACCCGGCGCTGCCCAGATGTCCCTCCCCGGCTCTGGGCGTGGAGCCGCCTGGCATTTCCAGCAGGGCCGTGGGGTCTCAGGCAGTTCGCCCGGAACAGGCGCTGATGCTGGCGGTGGGGCTGGGCTGGCCACGAGCTGGCCGTGAGAGGACGCTGCAGCGCATGTGATTCCGGGGTTCTCAGGACTGTGATTGCCCTAGAATTGGCCGCCATGGTGTTCAGGGGCTTCATGTGAAGGAGGGGGCCATGGTGAGTGCCCCGAGGGGGACCCTGAGGTCGCCCGGCTCAGGAGGGCCAGCTCTCGGGCCAGCATAGTGCGGCCTGGCCTCAGGCTCCAGGGCAGGCACTGGCCCGTGATCCTCCGGGTCTCTCTGGTGTGGGGTGTGTGTGCCAATGGCAGTGGAGCTGCTGTGGCCTCCTGACCTCCCAGCCTCAGCCACGGCCCTGGCCCTTCCCAGGGAGAGTAGCCTGGCCCCTGGCTGTTGGGGGCCATGCACGCCAGGATGCCTGCAGAGGTGCCCCTGCCTGGGTGCCCGTCTGCCAGGGTGCAGCAGCTGTCCTGGGTGTTCTGGCCTGGGGACCCTCTCAGCACCACCTGTGCCTCCAGAGTGGCGAGAAGGAGCCCCTGGACCTTGGCGCCCCCATAGCGAGTCTGGATGGACAGCGGGTCATCCTGGAGGAGAGAGACCCCTCCCGAGGAAAAGGTGGGTGAGGCCTTTTCTGGCCACTGGCCCTTCCACCCTGCTCCTGAAAGCCTGGGACACCACCCATCCCACCGGCGGCCTCTTAGGGTCTTGGGCCTGGTGACCGCTGCCGCAGCAGAGCACACCCCCCGGGCGTCTGGACATCTGATGTCGCGGGGTCTCCCTGGGCTGCCCCTCCGCTGTGGCGGGAGTGCCGGGCCACTGCCCCGGGCGCTCAAGTGCCGAGTCTGGACAGAGGGCTCTGCTCCGGGGCCCGAGCCCCTGCCCTGGCTGTGGTCAGCTGGCGCCCAGTGGGGGCCAAGTGACAGGCTTGGTGGTGGTGATGCCGGCGTCCCGGGTGCAGAGGCCACTCCCCATCCTGCCGTGGCCGCAGCCCTGCCCAGAGTCCCCAACTCAGCCCCTTCCTGGCAGGGCATTAGCCAGGGTGTCTCCCGGAAGGGGCTTTCTGGAACCCGCCTGCCAGTGCTCCAGGTGCGAAGGTGGCTTCCCAGGACTGCACTGTCCTTTTTTGGGCTCAGCCCAGCGAGGAGGTGGAGAAGTTTCTCCTCTGCCCTGCGGGCCCAGGACAGCAGAGGCCCTGGGCATGTGGGTTCTGGAGAAAGCTTTTCCCTGGGCCTTGTGCCCGGGGTGGCGGGTGGCCCCCAGGGTCCCCGGGGTGGGCGGGGTGGAGGCCGGGTCTCCTGCGCGGGCCAGGTGGCCTTGGGCAGCTGAGGGAGCGGGCTGTTGTCCCGAGCCAGCAGCCTGCCTGGGAAACGTGGCAGGTGTGCAAGCTGCTGCTTTCTGGAGCGTCCGCCAGGCGCGGAGTGGGCCTGCGCCCCCCACATCCCGAGGCGGCGTGCTCCTCGGCGGCCTCCGTGGGCCGCGTCCTCGACCGCCCGGGCGGCGCTGGGCAGGGGCCGTGGCCCTGGAGACGCAGCTCTCGACCACACGGACCGGTGGGTGGTGGCGCGGCCCCGGGGGCCACGAGGCTCATCTCCTGTCCGCACCCGCAGAGAAACAGAAGAGCGCGGCCAGCAAGCAGAGCGCGGCGCCCGGAGCCGGCGCCAGAGCCCACGCGGCTGCGGTAATCCCCGGCCCCGGCCCCACCGCCCCTCCCGCCCCCCGCGCTCGCTCCGGCGCCCGCCAGCCCGCCCCGGTGGCCGCCCGGGCTGGCCCCCTCGTGCCCTCCGCGCCGGCCCGGCCGGGACTGGCCGCTGGGCGGGGCCTGGGCGGGCCGGGCCGGCGCGAGGGTGGGCAGCGGCGCGGGGTGGCGCGTGTGGACTGTGGCTTTCCTTCCGCCGCAGGGAGAGGAGCGGGCGCTGGGCAAGTCTAATTCTATTAAAATAAAAGGCGAACGCGGAAGGCACGCCAGGGAGCCGCGGCTGGCAGGGAGAGAGGGCTCCGCCGCCAAGGCTGCGGGGAAGAAGTATCAGAAGATTAACCTGGACGAAGCGGAGGGTACGTCTGCCCTTCACGGCCCCGCGCTCCGTGGCGAGTGCCGGGGCCGCGTCGTGCGCTCGGCGCGCTGCGTCCAGGGGCTGCCGTCGCCACGCCACGGGCGCTCATGCCCGTCCCTGGAGCCCCGGCTCCCAGCCGCCAGCCGCGCCCCACGGCCAGGGCCCCCTGAGGAGCGGCCCCCGGCCCCCTCGCAGACGCCCATGGCGGAGCTGTGCTCAGAGCAGCAGTGCCGCGGCCCCGACCCTGCCCGGCCGGCCTCGGGGCGCCTACCCGAGGCGGGGGCCGGCCCGGAGTCCCACGGAGACGGGCGTGTCCCCGCACCTGGCCGCCCTAACGCTGGAGCCGGGGGAGCACTAGAGACGGCTGCGTTTAGGCGCCTCCGCCCCGAGCAGCGGGCGCAGTCACAGGGCAGAAGAGGGTTCTGGACAGGTCAGCGAAGGGCCGGGCACACGGCCGGCCCCAGGGCAGCACTGGGTGGGCGCCGCTGCCCAGGACCCCGGCCAGGATGCCGGGGAGCAGAGGCCCCGTGCCTGCGGCCCCCACCCTCTCGTGGCTGTGCCTCGGGGCGGCAGGATGCTGGGCCGGGCGTCCCGGCGGGTGAGCTCAGTGCGCTGTCCCTGTGGTTTCCGTCCACAGAGTTTTTTGAGCTCATCTCCAGGGCCCAGAGCAGCCGAGCAGACGACCAGCGCGGGCTGCTGAGGAAGGAGGACCTGGAGCTGCCGGAGTTCCTGCGCCTGCCGGCCCGCGCCCCGGCCCCCGCCCCGCCCCTCTGCCGCCTGCAGAGCCCGGCCACCAGCCCCAGCTCCAGCGACAGCCCGTCTGGGGCCAGCCCGCCAGGGCCGAAGCCTCCCTTCTGCGTCCCCCTGAGCCCGACCCCCCACGAGCAGGAAGCAGCGGCCGGGGGCATCCAGACCGTGGAGGGGGGGCATGAGGCCGACCTGACGCTCACGGGGGAGGGGGACATCAGCAGCCCCAACAGCACCTTACTGCCCCCTCCCCCAGCCCCGCAGGACACAGCTGGACCTCCGAGACCAGGTACCTCTGGGTTTTGACCCCCCGCTCGCCTCGGGCTCCTCACCATTCTGCGCCCCCAGTGTCGGCCCCCGGGCGCCCGTCGGGAGCAGCCACCTGGCCAAGCCTGGCGCCCCCGAGGCCAGGCTGGGGCAGCTGACCAGGGCGGGGATGCCCATGCTCGCTCCCGCCTCCCCATGGAGCGGCTCCACCCCCAGATGTGCCCGTGTACCCCAGGCCGCCTCCGCGTGCTCGTCTTGAGGCTGAACAGAGGCAGCCTCCGTCGTGAGGCCCTGTGTGACCTGGAGCGGCAGCCTGTGGCCTTGGCAGCCATTGGGGCTGGGGCAGAGCCGAGGGTCCCTGCATGGAGCGGGCGCCCCAAGGACCGTGTTGGGGACAGCAGGAGCCCCCCAGAGGTCTGGCCTGGGTGGGCGGGGAGGGCGCCATCTGACCAAGGGCCGGACCGTCCCTTGGTCATGGCTGTCCCTGTCCCAGGAGGGCCCGGCGGCCCTGGGACGCGGGCCGATCTGCGGCGGGCTGGGGCTGCGGGCATCCAGCACGCGTGGTGGGTGGGCTCCGGGGTGGCCCCGCCGTGCGTGTGGCCCTGCAGCTCCCGCCCTGGCTCGCCGGGCCTGTGCCTCCGGGGGTAATAAACTCTGCGTCTCACCGTGCACTGGCGTAAACTTTCTTCCTTTCTTTTGAAAACTTATTTCCATCTTGGATGTGTTTTAACCCAGGGAAAGTCCTCGTTGCAGGGAGGTCCGTGGGTTGACCGGCACACGCTGTGTTTAGACTGTGCCGGCCCCTGGGCAGACTTTTTGGGCGCTCCGCTGGGGAGGACAGACAGGTAGGGTGGGGCCAGGCCTCCCCTTTATGGCACAGGTGAGCGGCCAGGCGGTCCACCCCAGAGCCCAGCCGAGCCAGTGGCCGCCCCGTGAGCCCCACCCCCCGGGCATCCAGTATCTCCCCGAACAGTGGAGCGGACGCCTGCGTGGGCGCAGAGGCCCCGTGTCCTGCCCTCAGGGTACCTCTCGTCTAGAGCAGAGACAGACCCGTGGAGCCTGGGCTCCAGAGAGAAGGGGCCGCCTCAGGCTGGCCTGTGCCCCTACATGCCCACGCCGTGCTGGCCGGCCCCCAGGCTCCGCTGCCTTCACGACAGCCTCTGCGTGGAGCCCAGCCTCGGTGCGAACTTGCGGGGTTTGGGAGGCCTTCCTCTCCCTGGACACAGGCCCACTGCCCCCCGCTGAGCACCCCGGTCCTGTCCTGGGCCAGGCTCCCACCTCTGTGCCGTGGTCACACCGGTGCGGGGGGGTGGGGGGAGGGTCCTCACAAAGCCAGCCCGGCCTGGGGTCCCTCGCGGCAGAGACGCTGCTCTCCACCCCTGGGGCTTTTCCCTGGGAGCCGCAGGCCAGCCCACGCAGGCCGCGCCCTCGCCTTGGTGGTGCGGGCTGCAGTCCCAGGAGCCCACCCGACCCGGCAGCCGGGTGCTCCGCCCAGGCCCACACAGCTCGCTCTCACGGGAGGGCGCCCACCGTCCTGGACGCAGCCGTGGGGGCTGCCCACCCCAGGAGAGTCCGCGTCTCCGCAGCCCTCAGCTCCCTGTTCCCAGGGCCGCCCAGCGTGGCCTGTCCGTGCCGGGAACTCCCTCCGGCAGAAGCCTGACCCTTTGGTCTGGGGAGGCCGGGGACGGCAGGCCCTTCCCGGGCGTGGCGGGCCCTGTGCCTCCTCCCCGGCCTGCGTGGTGCTGTCCTTCGGTCCCGTGGGGCCCAGCGCCCCTGGCCTGCATTCCCTGCTGCCACCCGGCAGCCTCCGGGGCCCCTGGCCCTGCTCTGCTCAGCCCGGCCTCTGGCTCTCCGTGATCCACCCCACGCAGGGGTCACGCGACAAAGCCGTGGCCTAGACCTCAGCTGCCCCTCCCCCAGCCCGCCGCTGGGACCCTGGCCTGCAGCCTCTTCCCGGGCGGCTCCCCCCCGCCCGGCCCTCCTCTCACGCGCTCGGAACGTATTTGCTGAACCAGGAACTTTAATTGGGTCCCCCAGCCACGGTGCCGGGCCACAGACCTCTGGGGGTACGATGGGGACTCAGACAGGGTCCGTGGAGGCTGGGATGGGCGGGGTACCCCGGCTGGCGGAGGCCTGGGGCGCCCAGCAGGGTGGGGGCTGAAGGCGGGCCACAGGGCCCCCCCCCCCAGGTTCCAGTTCAGCCACACCTGTGTGTCTCTGCGGCGGGGACACCGGGGCGCGGCCAGGGAGGCTTCGCGGAAGAGGCGTGTCTGGAAGGACACACGGGACCCGGCCGAGCAGTCAGAGCTTGGGGTGGAAGCTGCAGTGGAGGGTCTGGAGACCGGAGCGTCCCCCTGGGGCAGGGCCAGGCATGGCACCAGCAGCTGGCTGAGGGAGGGCCTGGAGGTGGTGGAGGGGTCGGCGCCCCATGCCCGGCCCCCCGGTGCACCCCCAGCCGCGGCGTGCCTGGGAGGAGGTGCTGACCTGTCCAGAGCCCTGACCCACCGGCCAGGTGAGGGGCGCCCGAGAGGTCTTGGCTGCGGCGGGGGCTCCAGGAGGCCCTGCCAGAGGGCCGTGGGGAGCCGCAGGCCCGGGGCGGGGGTGCCCGGTAGCGCGGCGGGCGCGGCCCGGAGCAGGGGGACTGGACGGCGGCTGAGCGAGCGCCGGGAGCAAGCGTGCGGCCCAGAGCAGCACCGGCCCCTTGGGAACTGGCCCCCGCCCCAGCCCCGCAGGCCGCCCGCCCTGCACCAGGTGGCTCCGGGCAGGCCTGGGCTTGGGGCCTGACGCTGCCTCTGCACCCTGGGCCCGGCCCCTGAGTCACGGCCCGGCGGCCGCGCGCCCGGGAGAGCAAGTCGGCGGCAGCAGGAAGGGCTGGGCGGCGGCCGCCCTCCACGACACCACCCTGGCCCCGGCCAGGCGGCCCCGCCCGGACACGGCGCGCCTCCACCCCGAGCCCAGCTGCCCGGGGCCCGGCCCGTCCTCCTTCACACGCCGCAGCAGGCCGCCTTCGGGAGGGCGAGCCCCGCCTTCCCACACCGGAGTCAGAGGTGGAGCCCAGCCCTGCCAGCCGCTCCTGGCCCTGCAGCACCCGCGGGCGCCAGTGGGTGGCCCCGGCAGGTTTGCTGCGAGACTAAGGGATGGCCCGGGAGGAGCTGCTTCGGGTCCTGCAGCTCCACAGAGCTCTGGGCGCTGGCAAGGGGGCGCCGTCTTCTGAAGCCTCTCCCAAGGCTCCGCCGCCACCATTGCCACCGGCCTGCGGCCACCACCATGGCCACGGCCTGTCTGAAGGTGGTGGGGCGCCGCCTGGACTTGTCCGCGGGTGGGCTGTGCCCTGGGGGCCGCACCTCTGCCCACAGCCCCAGACGCTCGCGGGAGCTCCCAGGGGGTTCCACTGTCAGATGGGAGGGGGGTCCTTCCCACCAGCCAGGCCCTGCAGGGGCAGTCAGTGAAGTGGAACCATGTCCTGGCTGGACCTCAGGTCCGGCTGGGGCGGCTCGCAGTGGGGACAGCAGGGGCACCTTCAGGCCAGGCCTGGAGGGGGTGCGGTGCCGAGACTGGGGGTGCTCCTGGGGTCACAAAATGGCAGCGTGGGGGGCACAGCCCCAGGTCATGATGGTTGTGATGGAGCAGGGGGTGCGGAACCTGGGGGAGGGGCCAGGAGGGCCTGAGCTTCTGGGCGGGCAGAGTATGTGGCCGCTGGGGCGGCCTGGGCCCCTGCTCCACCCTGACCTGTGAGGCCTGTGGGGGCAGGGCACCCCCTGAGAGTGCCTGGGGAGCCCCGGGCATGGCCCTCCACTGCCTCTGCCTGCATAGCCTTCGGCCTAAGGGGCCTCCCCGCTAGCCCTTGCGGGGGGCGGCCAGGACATGGTGGTCTTGGGGAGCCTGGGCAGGTGTCCCTGTGTCAAGTGGGGGGAAGTAGGGGGGAGGGGGGGCTCTCCTCTGGCCACCCTGAGTCCCTGAGTCCCTCGGAGTGCCCGGGGGCGGGTACCAGCCTTCTCCTTTGCCATCAACCCCACCCACCAGATGGGCGGGGCGCAGGGCATCCTTCCTGCCACCCTCACCCCACACCCCGGCAGCCCCCCTTGCAGCCCGGCTAGGGGCAGGGTGGCGGGGAGAGCTGCCCACCAGAGGTGGGGGCAAGGCTTGGGGTGCATTTCTGGAAGCTCTCCACGACCTGTGGAGGTGCCAGGGATGGCAGCGGCCCCCAGGACGGCTGCGGGGCTCCCGCGTCAGGGCGGGGCACACAGTGACCCTCTCTTCTCCTGTGGCAGGCGGCGGGGCCCGCGGCAGCAGAGGCCTCCCGGTCAGCACCATCATCGATGTGGACTGCGCTGTGGGCTCCGCACCAGGGCCGGGGGCGTGGACAGGACCCTGGAGGGCATGGGCCAGCAGGCCCCCCACGTCAGAGCCCCCCAGCCCGAGCCCCGGTGGGGGCGGGCCCGCCAAGCCCAAGGCCGGCCCGCACCGCGCAACCTTCGTCTGAGGCTGCCCGCTGCCCAACCCGCGCCCAGCCCTGCCGCCTGGACACCGGGCAGCCTGTGACCCCGGGGGGGCGGCCTGAGCCACCCAGGCCCTTGGAGGGGCCGCCTCGCCAGCACGCCCTCGAGAAGAAAGCAGGTGTGGACGGTGCGCCGCCCGCGCTGCCCCTGGCCCCGCAGTTCCCAATAAAGCTCTCTGCGGCCCCCAAGGACTGGCTTCGTGCTGGGGGTGGGCTCGAAGGCCCTGCCCGCGTGGGGCCCTGCGACAGACGCGGGAGCCGTGGTGCCAGGGGGCGCAGTCGGTGGGCCAGCCATGCCGCCAGGCCCAGGCCTGGGTCCGGCCTGCCCCGGGGTCCCGGGGTCAACGCAGGCGCTTCCCCCGGCTTGGCGACTGGAGGCTGGACTAGGGCTGCAGCTCCCTGCCAGGTCTCCTGCCTGCACCCCAGCTGGGGGCATTGGGCCACTGTGCCCCTCCCTGCCCTTGGCCTCCCTCAGAGGGGTGGCTGGCGGGGTCATCTGTGGACGGCCAGCTGGGCCGAGACCTGAGCGTGGAGACCGGGGAAGGAGCACGTCGGAGGCCCGGGGGGGCAGGGAGGGGGGGCAGGTGGGGCTGGAGCCCAGCGCAGAGGCGTGTGAGGTCAGGCCCACGTGTGGCGTGGTTGGAGTGGACGGAGATGGCAGCGGGGCCCACGTGGAGCAGTGGGGGCCTCCCCCCAGCGCTGGAGGGGCTTGCCAGGCCTGCCCGTCAGTGCAGGCGGCAAGGGCTGCCCCAGCAGGCAGTGCTCTAGGCGGGGCCAGGAGGCGGTGGGTGGGGAGAGGCGCAGCACCCGCCATGCCCCGGCCCACCTGCTTGGCACCCGCTGTGCTCCCAGCTGGGGCAGCTGCAGTGTCTGTCCCCCCCCAACACAGAGAGAGTGGCTGGGGTGTGTGGTATCCCCAGGTCAGCCCAGAGGGCCAACCTTTCTCCCCTGTGTGGGCAGGGGCTGCCTGGCACCCCCCGGGCAGCTCGGGAAGGGCACAGAAGGGCCCTGCGTGGCACTGCTCGAGCCAGGCTCCCGTGCCCAGGCAGCAAGCCCCAAGGGTGCCGTGGTGCGCGGGGTTGGGGCCCGCCCCGCTCCCAGACGAGGAGGGCCAGGCGCTTGCGGACCTGGGCGTGCCCCTTGGGCTCCACGGGGACCTGGCAGCCCCAGAGACGGCCTGGCCCACCAGGGCAGGGGTGTGAGACGGGGCAGGGCAGCTCGTCCAGGCTGCCGGGGGCCCAGGTCTGAGGGAGTCCAGGGTTGGGGTGTTTTCCTGGCAATGTCCAGCAAAGGGAGTGGACACTCCCGAGCACCTCCAATCAGGGCAGGCTTGTGGGCAGCTCCGTACCCCCGATCTGCTCCCACGAGGGTCCCCACCTCGCCCGACCTGGAAGAGTGGGCGGCGCTCACAGCCCCCCGGCACCTGGTGCCCTCCAGGGACAGTCTGGGCCTCTGAGAGCTCAGTGCGGTCAGGCAGTGGTCAGCCGAAGCCAGGCAGGCCCTGGCCTGGGAGTCATCCGGGAAGACGTCCTGTGGGAAGTTTCTGAGCCGAGTCCTGCAGTGACTCTCAGAGCCGGGACCAGCGCAGCTGAGGAGGCGACGGCGGGGCGCTTGGGCAAGGCGGGGAGCGGGCCGCAGGGGCCATGGGCCCACACGGGAGGCAGCCGGGTTAATCATTTCCCGGAGGCCTTGACCCCCACCTGCCCTGGCCGCTCTGCTCCCGCTGCCCTCACGCCTGCTCTGGGGGAGCCATGGGGTGCCGGGCCTGGGTCCCCAGCCCCTGCCTGACATCCAGGCTGTCCCTGCTGCTGCTGCTGCTGCTGCTGCTGCTGCCACTTCGAGGGGCCCAGCCCCAGGCCGGCGGGGTGAGCACTGACCCTCCCACAGTGGCCGTGGGCTGCGCGTGCCCACTCTGGAGGCCGGTGGGGGTGGCCGGGCAGGGGTGTGGACGGCGAGGGCCACTGTGGAGAGAGATGGCGCAGGGGGGCTCGCAAGGGCTGGGGACACCATCTTGCACTCACCTGGGGGCGTGGGGTCACTGCCCGCGGCCTCTGTGCTCACGGCACTCGAGGTGGGGGCAGGGGCCTCGGAGGGTGCCACGGCGGCCCTCCAGGAGTCCAGCCTCCGAGCCAGCCTGACTTACCCCTTGGGCTTGGCGGCTGGGGCAGGGGACAGGGCCCAGCCGAGGCCTGGGGTCTCCCTGGACCCTGCTCCAAGACCCAAGGGCCTGGGGCCTCGCCCAGTGCACCCTTTGGGACTTAGCCCGGAGACCGTCCCCCCCAGTGCCATCACCGCCCTCTCGGCTCCTAGAACCGGACAGAAGCTCCAGAGCCGGATGCCACCGTGACCACGGGGACCCCGACCTCAGCTTTGAGTGCTCCCGGGTCAGAGGCACCCGATGTGGTGGGACCCAGCCCCCCAGCCAGGGCCGCTCCTGGGAGGCGCAATGGCCCTAGAGACCCAGGTGGGTCCAGGGGGCTTCCTGGAGGAGATGCCCATCAGATGGGCAGGCTGGGGGGGCCGCCGTGGGGGACTGGGGCGTAAGACAGGGGGCCAGGAAGGTGCCCGAGCGAGCCCCTGACCCCGCCCCCCCGCAGTGCTCACGGAGAACGGGCAGCCCTGCAGGTTCCCCTTCCGCTACGGTGGCCGCATGCTGCACTCCTGCACCGCCGAGGGCAGCGCCCACAGGAAATGGTGGGTGGGGCCGGACGGAGCCCAGGGTGGTCGGCGCTGGGGGCGGGGCAGACCCTTCCTCCACCGCCCACCCCCAGGGCCACCCCGGAGCCCCCTCTGCGTGGGGGTGGCCAGCGGGCATGCCGCGGGAGCCGGGAAGGGGCAAATGGGGCGGTCAGAGGTGCCCTGGCGCGTGGGCAGGACGGCTCCGGCCTGGGGCCCTGGGTCACGGCCCGTGTCACCCCAGGTGCGCCACCACGCACAACTACGACCGCGACCGGGCCTGGGGCTACTGCGCGCAGCCCGCCACACCCCGCCAGGGCCCGCGTGAGTTCCCAGGCTGCAGGGCTGTGCTGGGGCGAGCTGGGGGGCCTCAGCATCAAAGAGAGGAGGGGGCGGCCAGAGCTGACAGGGGCGGGTCCTGCCCGGGGTGCAGGCGGGGTGCAGGAGGGGTGCATGCAGGCGGGGGCGGGGGAGGGGGCGCCTCCCCTGGCCTCCTGGGGTGGGGAGGCTGTGCCGCTGTTGCTGGGGACGGGGCGCCCCCTGCTGGCCAGGCCTGGTCCCACGGCCCCACGCCAACAGCTCACTCAAGGACCCCAGGGGACCCCGCCAGACTGTGCTGGCCTGATTTGGGGGGTCGTGTGGGGGTCTTCCATGGTGCCAGGGGCAAGTCAGAGATCTACTTAGCAGGGACCGGGGGCTAGAAGGCAGGACGGGAGAGGTCCGAGCCCCCCCAAGGCCCCTAAGGGGCAGTTTTAAGGCAGCCCGAGGGAGGCCCCCAGGAATATGGGGGGCTCTCAGATGTCCCCCTCCCGTGTAGCTGCCCTGGATCCCTGTGCCTCCAATCCCTGCCTCAACGGGGGCTCCTGCTCCAGTGCCCAGGACGCTGCCTACTACCACTGCACCTGCCCCCTGGCCTTCACTGGCCCCGACTGTGGCACCGGTGAGGGGGGGCGGCCTAGCCAGGCCCTGGGGGCGGGGTGCTGGGAGGGCACTGCGTGGGGGTGCTGGGAGGGCCCGTGTGCGGGACGGGGCTCACTGTGCCACCCCCAGAAAAATGCTTCGACGAGACCCGCTATGAGTACCTGGAGGCGGGAGCCAGTTGGGTGCGCGTGCACCAGGGCCGCGTGGAACAGTGCGCGTGCGAGGGGGGCCAGGTGCGGTGCGAGGCCACCCGCCACACAGGTACGGGGGGAGGGAGCCCGCCCCAGCCTCGCACCCCGGGGCCGGGCCAGGCCAGGCCCGGCAGCCCCAAGCCCAGGCCTGGCTTCTGCGCGCCGCCCACAGCGTGCCTGAGCAGCCCCTGCCTGCACGGCGGCACCTGCCACCTGGTCGTGGCCACCGGGACCAGTGTGTGCACCTGTCCCCAGGGCCGCGCCGGGCGGCTCTGCAACATCGGTGAGTGGCCCACCGGGGTGGGGGGGGGCGCAGGGGGTGCAGCCGGCTCTGAGCGCGCCCCCCACAGATCCCGCCCAGCGCTGCTTCCTGGGGAATGGCACGGATTACAGGGGCGTGGCCAGCACCGCAGCCTCGGGCCTCAGCTGCCTGGCCTGGGACTCGGACCTGCTCTACCAGGAGCTGCACGTGGACTCGGTGGACGCAGCGGCCCTGCTCGGCCTGGGCCCCCACGCCTATTGCCGGTCAGCACCCACCGGCCCACCCAGGCCGCTTGCCAGGCGGCAGGCTCTGTCTGGGGGAGACCTGCCCAACCTGGCCGGTGACCCCCACCCGCCCCGGGCTCCCAGGGGCCCCGCTCAGCCCTACTGGAGGCCTCAGTGGGCGCGGGCCGCAGGAGGCGGGGGAGGGCTGGGGACCGGGCTCGGGCCCACCCTGCCGGTGGCCCCGGTCGGTGGCCCCACGCCCCTGCCCACCTGCCCTCCAGGAACCCGGACAAGGACGCGAGGCCCTGGTGCTACGTGGTCAAGGACAGCGCGCTGTCCTGGGAGTACTGCCGCCTGCCGGCCTGCGGTGCGCAGGGTGGGGCGGCGCGCTTCCTCCCCCAGGCCCCCGGGGGTCCTCCCTGCCCCAGGCCCATCTCTGAGGGGGGGAAACTGAGGCTCCCTGGGGCCAAGCCTGCGCCAAGGCCTTAGCGGGGGGCCTGGGGTCAGCAGGTCCTCCCAGGCAGCCCGCAGGGGCGGGGCGGCGCCGGCAGGTGAATCACCTGGGCAGGAGCCGCCGCACTGAGGAGTCAGGCCCTGGTGGCGCCCCAGGAGGCCAGGCACCCCCGGGCCCCGGTGCCAGGGCCGGCCTGGCTGGCTCTGCACAGGACCGCCGGGTGCCTGACACCTACCAGGTGTGCCAGGCCGCGGGAGGAGACAGCGAGACCAGGCGCCCTGGAGGGCAGGGTCCGCCCAGGCCAGGCCCCTTCCCAGTGCTGCGGGCCGGGCGGTGCCAGGGGTCAGCCGGCCCCGGCCTGAGGGCGTGAGCCGCGACCTTTGCCCCCAGAGTCCCTCGGCAGGCGGCAGCCGGCGCCCGGGGTGCTGCTGGCCCTGCCCGAGCCCGCGCAGCCGCCCCCCGCGGGGCGCCCGAGCTGCGGCCGGCGGCACAAGAAGAGGACGTTCCTGCGGCCGCGCATCCTCGGGGGCTCGTCCGCGCTGCCCGGCTCGCACCCCTGGCTGGCGGCCGTCTACGTGGGGGGCGGCTTCTGCGCCGGGAGCCTGGTGCACACCTGCTGGGTGGTGTCCGCCGCGCACTGCTTCGCCGGCAGGTCAGGCCGCCCGCGTGCCCCCAGGCCCGGACCCCCGCCCGCCGCGCCCCCAGGCCCGGACCCCCGCCCGCCGCGCCCCCAGGCCCGGACCCCCGCGCGCGCCCGCGCCCCCAGGCCCGGATCCCCGCCCACCCGCCGCGCCCCCAGGCCCGGACCCCCGCCCACCCGCCGCGCCCCCAGGCCCGGACCCCCGCCCACGCCCGCGCCCCCAGGCCCGGACCCCCGCGCGCGCCCGCCGCGCCCCCAGGCCCGGACACCCCCCGCCCGCCGCGCCCCCAGGCCCGGACACCCCCCGCCCGCCGCGCCCCCAGGCCGGACCCCCCGCCCCGCCCGCCGCGCCCCCAGGCCCGGACTCCCGCCCGCCCGCGCGCCCCCAGGCCCGGACACCCCCCTCCGCCCGCCGCGCCCCCAGGCCCGGACACCCCCCGCCCGCCGCGCCCCCAGGCCCGGAACCCCCCGCCCGCCCCGCCCGCCGCGCCCCCAGGCCCGGACCCCCCGCCCGCCGCGCCCCCAGGCCCGGACACCCCCCGCCCAGCCGCCCGCCGCGCCCCCAGGCCCGGAACCCCCGCCCCGCCCGCCGCGCCCCCAGGCCCGGACCCCCCAGCCCGCCCGCCGCGCCCCCAGGCCCGGACCCCCCGCCCACGCCCGCGCCCCCAGATCCCCCGCCCCCGCACCCCGCCCCCGCCCCCGCCGTGCCCGTCTGCACCCCCACCGAGCTGCCCGCGCGCCCCGGCAGCCTCGCCGCCCGCGCGCCCCCACCTACCGCGGGAGACGCGGGGCGCAGCCGCCCGGGCGGGCGCGGGGCTGCGGCTCGGGGCGCGGGCAGAGCGCGCATGCGCGGCGGGGCGTGTCCCGGGCCCCGCCCAGGGGCGTGTCCCGGGCGGCCCCGCCCAGACCGCGCGAGCCGGGGCTGCGGGGGACACGGCCCGGCCCGCGGGGCTCCGGGCGGCCGGCAGGGCCCGGCCCACCGCCGCTCGCCCAGGGGCGCGAGCTCAGAGGCCGCGCCGACCACCCCGCCGCTGGCGTGGGGCAGGCCCTCCCGGGCCGGCTCGGGTGGGCGCCCGTGCGCGCGGGTGACCGCGCAGATGGGGAAACCGGGTCCGGGCTGGCGAAGGGGCCGCCCGGGAGGGCCCCGTCCAGCGGGCGCGAGGGCCTGTGTCCAGGCGTCCTTGCAGATAGGCAGGGCCGGGCCTGGGAGATGGTGCTGGCAGGACGCCTCCTCCCGCGCAGCCCGGGCGCCGGGGCTGGGGCGCCGGCCTCAGGGGCCCAGGGCAGGCCAGGTCCTGCCACCACCAGCCTCTCCCCGCAGCCCCCCCAGGGACAGCGTCTCAGTGGTGCTGGGCCAGCACTTCTTCAACCAGACGACGGACGTGACGCAGACGTTCAGCATCGAGAAGTACATCCCCTACCCCCTGTACTCCGTGTTCAACCCCAACGACCACGACCTGGGTGAGGCGGCGCGGCCGGCGTGCACCCTGTGCGGGGGACGGAGCTGGGGGCAGGGGGCAGCCGCAGGCCTGCACCAGGCCTCAGGCCTCGGGGAGGGGTGGGGTGGTCAGGACAGGGCGGCAAGAGCGCCTGGCGTCCTGGAGAAGCCTTGGCCTGGCAGGAGGACGTGGTGGTCAGCCAGCCTCTCTGGGCCCTGGACAGGCCCCCTGCCCACTCCAGGTCTCCTGGGCCCTCAGCCTGTCTGCCCGCAGGGCTGTGCTCCCAGGGAACTCCGTGGCTGCCCTCTATCCGTTCTGGACCCTCAGGCCCCAGGCTGACCTCTGATCTCTCCTAACCAGTTCTGATCCGGCTGAAGAAAAAGGGGGACCGCTGTGCTGTCCGCTCCCAGTTTGTCCAGCCCATCTGCCTGCCTGAGCCAGGCAGCTCCTTCCCCGCCGGGCAGAAGTGCCAGATCGCCGGCTGGGGCCACCAGGACGAGAGTGAGTGGGTGGGCAGCCCGGGTGTGGTGCCGGGTGCAGGGCAGCTTGGCCCTGGCCCACCCTGAGCACCCCGTGGTGTGCGTAGACGGGGGTGGCTACTCCAGCTCCCTGCGGGAGGCGCTGGTGCCCCTGGTCGCCGACCACAAGTGCAGCAGCCCCGAGGTCTACGGGGCCGACATCAGCCCCAACATGCTGTGCGCCGGCTACTTCGACTGCAAGTCTGATGCCTGCCAGGTGAGCACACGGGTCAGCGGCCCACGCGCCCCGGGAGCCCAGAGCCACAGGGGCCCAGTGTGGGGTGGGACCTCCCCCTCAGTGGCCAGCCCCCCACCCCGCAGGGCGCCCAAGACTTCTTGGGGTCCCTCCTACCCCAGCTAGATGACTCGTGTGGAGAGAGGACCCTCCTTATGTGGATGGGGAGACAAGGGCCCGGGAGAAGCAGAGTCACGAAGCCTGGTGAGGCCCCAGCTGCCCCACCCAGGCCGTCGGTGCACTCCCAGGCCGAGTCCCCCGGCGGCTGCACCCCCAGTCAGCCCTGCGTTTGGTGCTGTCCTGGCCGCCATGGCAGGGTGGCGTCAGCCCCAAGATGGGGAGCTGCTTGGCTCCCCAGCTTACAAAACCGAGGCCCGGGACAGGCCGGTCACCCCCCAGGTCACATGACAGCAATGGCAGGAGAGTGCTTGATGGCGGCCGCGTGTTACGGCGAAGCTGGGGCATCAGCACGGCCTCGTAGAGGAGGGCACATGGCCCGGGCGGGGGGCGGTGTTCCATGCGGGGAGTAGCCAGTGCTGACACGGGCCTGCGGTGCGGGGGTGCGTGTGGTGGGAGTGGAGGCAGGACCCTGCGGCTTCCTGATGGAGGAGTTGGGGAAAGTGAGTCACCTGGGCTGAGTCTCTGGGGCGCTGGCTCTGACCGGCGGCCCCACACAGGGGGACTCGGGCGGGCCTCTGGCCTGCGAGAAGGACGGGGTGGCCTACCTGACCGGCATCATCAGCTGGGGCGACGGCTGCGGGCGGCTCAACAAGCCTGGCGTCTACACCCGCGTGGCCAACTATGCAGACTGGATCAATGACAGGATTCGGCCCTCCAAGCGCCCCTCCTGAGCCCGGGGTGCCCCTCCCAAATGCAATAAAGAGCTTTCTGAGCACCTGGCTGCCTGCGTCAGCCCTGTCCCGGGGCCACAGCGGCCGAGCCTGGGGGGCCTGGGCCTGCCCCGCTGAGGGGGCGCTCTCAGGCCAACGGGGACTCGGGGACTCGTGCAGGCGCCAGGGTGGGGCTCCCGGGCAGGCATGGAGGCCCCGTCCAGATGGGGGGGGGTGCGGGGCAGAGCCTGAGCCAGGGACGCCCATTCCAGCGGGAAGACGGTTCCCTGCTGCCCCCACCTTCCCTAGGAGGAGGCAGCTGTGCTCTGGGGAGTGCAGGGAGGGAGGGGCCGGATGCCAGGGTGAGTGCAGGCAGGGGCCACCCCCATGTTGATCTCAGGGAGCCAGCCCCTGCTTCAGCTGGCTGGGCACCAGGTGTGGAAAGGGACCCCAGATGCCCAGAGGCGACCCAGCGACAGGAACCGCGGCAGAGGCCCTGGGCTTGGTGGCTTGTGTGGCTGCAGGCCGGGCTGTGGGCGGCTGGGTATGCCCAAGCTCCCCACGGGGTCTCAGCAGGGGCAGATGGGGTGAGGCGTGCTGCCCAGAAGAGGCCAGCGTGTGGGGGCAGCAGTCCCACGCGGGGGTTAGGTGCCTGGGCAGCTGCAGCCCGGTCTGGGGGCCAGGACGACAGCCCCCACGCAGTGCGTCCAGACGCTCCTGCGGCTCTGGCTCCTGCGGCTCCTGCGGCCCTCTCCATGCCTGGCCCCGAGCGCCCCTGCTTCTCGGCCCCAGCCAGCCCAGGTCGCGCCACCTCTCCGGGCCAGGGCCAGCTCCTCTCCCTGCCCCCACTCCTGCCTGATGCCCCCGGAGTCCATGCAGCCAGCCCGCTGCCGCCCGGCTGTGCTCTGCCCCCCTGACCTTCCCGTTCACCGGCTGACCGGGGCCCCGCTGGCCAGGGCCTTTTGCTCTGCGCCTGGAATATTCTCCCTGCGTCGCCCCCCGCACTTGGCCCGGTGGCCCCCCACGCTCCCACTGGGGCAAGGCCCAGCCTCCCACAGCGCCCGGCCTGCCTGCGCGCCCTCGCGTCCCCGTGGGAGGGGTGGGCTATCGACGGGGTGCTGGGGCTGCCTTGCAGTGAGCCACGCCCGCCTGGAGCCACGTGTCCCATTTGCTCCTAGGGTGTGCCCCTCTTTCCCCACCTTGCACACTGCCCCGGACTCCTCCAGGCTCCTCTGTCTTCGGGTTGTGTTGAGCCATTGGGGAGCCCCAGCAAGAGGCTGGCAGAGGGAGGAGAGCGGGCTTGGGTTGCTGGCTCCCCCCTCTTGGGGTCTTCTCAGTGTTACAGGTTCCACTCGTCGGGGTCCTGAGCCGGGGCCGCGGTGTGACTCACTGCGTGGACAGCCTGCAGGGGATGGGGGAGCGAGCGAGGCCGCTGGGGTGGGCCCGGTCGTCGGGACTGTCCCCAGAAAAGGGACTTTGGACACAGACCCTGAGGGGTGGGGGCCGGGCCTGGGAGACAGGTGCTCAGGCCTACGGTGGCCGCCGCCCGCAGGGGCACGTGGCGCAGGGGCCGTCTGCTGGACGCGCACGCTCCGGGGCCACGGCGGGAGCAGGTGCCGCGCCAGGCGTGGCCCAGCTGGCCCGGCCAGTGCTCAGGAACGCGGCACTGCCCCGCCCGGCTCGGATGAGCAAGTGCGAGGTGGCGGCTGAGGGCCTGGCAGCAGCCGCCAGCTTTGGCCCCCAGGGCCGCGCACTGGCTGTTGGGCACCCTGGCTCTCCAGGGTGGCCCCTGGCCAAGCTGCGGCGCTTGAACCAGTCCTGTGACCTGAAAACCGCTCCGGGAGGGTGGCCGGGGGGCCCAAGGGTCCCCTGGGGGCTGCAACCCTACCCTGCTCCAGCCCCGCGGGACTCACCGGCATCTTGGGGCTGCCAACCAGGGCGCACCCACCTGCGGCCTCAGGAGACGCCCGGAGTGGCGGGCGCCCCTGCCCCCAGCATCAGCTCTGGGCGTCTCCGCCCCAGCCACATGGCCCGACCCCCAGGGCTGCGATGCCACCTGCACACTGGAGCAGATAGGGGCTCCCGGGCCCCACCCACAGTGGCCCTGCCGGGTGTAGGGCTAGGGCGCTGCCTCGGCTCCCACCAGACCCGACCTCCACCTGGCACTCGCTGTCCTGCTGCCCTGGAGTTCCCCTCCCCACCGGCTCCCCAGGTTTGGGGCTCTTGACCCCTCTTACTGATGAGGGCTGACACTCGGGTGTGGACCTGCCAGGTCCCCTAACAACGGGACACCTGGCAGAGGGGAGCCCTCTACCCCTAGAAAGGGGGCCCAGGGGGCTTTGCAGAGCAGGCAGCTCCCCCTGTTCCCCCGCCGCATGTACAGGGCTGCCTGGCAGGGGCCAGAATGGCTCTCCTGGGACGACAGACAGAGAGGGGCGCAGTGGGTGCCTGGTCGTCCTGCCTGGGCGGCGGCCTGCTCTGCGTCCGGACGGGAGGGCGGTGGGGCCTCCTCCACGGCTCTGCCCGGGAAACCAAGGTCTGGGGTGGGGGTGCTGGGGGGCGGCTGGGAGTGCCCTGGCCTGGGTCATCCCCGGTGGGCCGCGGGGGTCTGGTGACAGCCCCCGGGGGGCAGTGCCGAGTGAGACACCGGGCTGGGGGAAGACAAACGGGGCGCATCCCCTGCTCTGCTGTTGGGAGGGGAGCCGCCGCCCATCCCAGGGCGGGGTGAACTTCACCTGGGGCGGCGAGGGGCCCTCGGTGCCCCTGCCGGCGCGGTCACAGCTCCCAGCGGGGGCCAGTGCGGCAGGCTGTGGGGGAGCCACGCCTGGCAGGGAGACCCCGGCCCCCACCGGCGCCCCGCCCGCCCGCCCGCCCCGCGGCCCGCCCTCCGCGCTGGCCCAGCCCAGGCCCTCGGGAGCTATTTTGAAAGTGACCCTGGGCTGGGCGGCCGCGGGGCGGCGGGCCGCGGGAACCATGACCGAAGATGACCGAGGCGGCGCTGGTGGAGGGCCAGGTCAAGCTGCGGGACGGCAAGAAGGTGGGCGCGCGGCGGGCGCGGGGCGGGCGCGGGGCGCGGGCGGCCGCTCACGCTCCCTCTGTCCCGCAGTGGAAGAGTAGGTGGCTGGTGCTGCGCAGGCCGTCGCCGGTGGCAGGTGAGTGAGCGGCCGGCGGGCGGGCGGGCGCGGGCGGAGGGGCGCGCCGGGCCGGGATGAGCGGCGCCCGGGGCCTCCTGCGCCGCCCGGCAGACCCGGAGCGCGGCCAGCTCGCCCGAAATAGCGGCGGCTCCGGCGAGGGCTGTAACCCGAGAGGCAGCCGGCGCCGGCCTGGGCGCGGGCCGAGACTGGCGCGCGGTCGCGAGCCCCCGGGGCTGCTCCCCGGGTCTGAGAAGCGCCTCCCGGCCGGCGAGGACGTGGGGGCCGCGGGCTGGCGGGGCCTGGCCAGGGGCGTGCCCCCTCCCTCATCGAGCCCAGGGAGCACCCCAGAAAGCCCTGCTCCCTGGCCCGCCGAGGGGTGGGGGCTGAGCCGCCATTGGCTCCGCGGGGCAGCGCTGACCGGGTGCCCGTCCCGCCTGCTGGCTGCAGCAGAGGCGGCCCGCTGACAGGGCTGTCGGGTGCGCCAGAGAAAAGCAGTCTCAGCGTTGGAGGGAGCCGTCCTCCAGGAGGAGCGGCGGCCCCCCAGCCCAGGCAGTCCCCCAGCCGGGAGGCACCCGCAGAGTGCCGTCGGGTCGGGCATCCTTCGGCTGGGCCTGAGGTCTGGGCGCGGGGAGCCCTGGGCGCCGCAGCTGTCAGGGAGACAGGTGTCTGGGCCCGCCGGGCGGGGTCTGTGTGGTGCTGGGGCGTGAGCCCAGACTGCCTGGCACAGGGAGGGGCTGCTGGGGGTCTCGGAGATGCCCCATCTGGGAGGGTGTGGGAGCCGCTCCTGGGCCCTCCTCGGGTCTGCGCCCCTTGTGGCCTCCCAGGCTGCACTTTGGGCCGGGGGCCTGCGCTTCCTGCCGGCCTCGGCTCCCCAGGGGCTGTGGCTCCCTTTCTGGTGGGGGGTGTCAGGGCAGCAGGGGCACCCCTGGCGGGGTGGCGGGGGAGGCACTGGCCAGCTGTGGCTGGAGGCAGACTGAGTGCTGCGTGGCGGGTGGTGGTGAGCTGGGGTGAACAGTGGCCCTGGGGTGGCCTCAGCCCTCGTGGGGCGATCTGGGACATGCACAGCACCCCCTTTCCAGAAGGGGGACTAAGCCGGGGTGCACAGTGGTGGCGGCTGGTGGGTGTGAGTGCCCCTCCTGGCCTGGAGGACACCTGCCGTGGTAGCCAGCAGCACCTCAGGAGGGCGGGTCAGCGGACGTGTGGGCGTGTGGACGCGTGGACGTCAGCCTTGCCTGGGAGCAGCTGAGAAAGCAACGTGGTGGGACCGGGCCCGAGAGCACCCTGATTCCAGTGGGGGGGCGGGGGGAAGCCTCCGCCCAAGGGTGCTGGGGCTGCCTCTGACGGGGCTTGGGTGGAGGAGAGAAGGCGGGGCACTGGGCAGGCCCTGGGACGGGCGGGGCGTGTGGGGGCCCTCTGGCCCTTCCAGGGACACCCACCCTGCCCCCAGCCCATGGCCCCCGAGATCTGGGGCAGCCACCCGCAGTGCCGGGGACCCAGCAGGCTCACCCTCACGTGGGCGATGCTCCCCCGCCTGGCCCCTCCTCTCCGTGCCCCTGCGCCCCCGCCGGGGAGCCCCTTTGGGCTCGAGTTCGCCCGGTTCCATGGGGGTGGGCGCACGGGGCATGGGGCTGTGTCCTTGAGGACGCAGAGCCAGGAGGGGCTGTGAGGGGCGGCCCTGCCCTCCCGCCGTCCCCGCCGCCGCCCCCCCGGGCCGTGTGCAGGGGCCGGGTCTTCACACCTCCCCTGAAGGCGGGTCTCCGGCCTGCTGGTGCCTGCGGCTCGGCTCCCACAGTCGAGTGCAGTGACTGCAGAACATTCTGGTCCAAGCGGCCGTGGGAAGAGTCGATGGCCCCGGCAAGCTGCTCAGTAGCAGGACCCCCAGCCCTGCCCCATGGGGGCGGCGCAGACCTCTTGGGGTCCAAGCCGTGTTCTCGGCGTGTGCACAGTGGCCTTTACCGATCGCTCAGAATGGGGCTTCCCTGGGGCTGTGTCTCCAGGCTCGGCTTCCCCCGGAGGGGCCCCCGAAAGGAGGGCGATGCGGCCAGGTCCTGGCCTCGGGCCTGCTGCTGCTGACCCGGGGCTTCGGGAGCCCCGCCAGGTGAGGAGAGATGGGCCCTCGGCTTCCCACGCCCCTGCCCGGAAGCCACCAGCCAGGCCGGGTCCTAGTGGGGGCCTTTGGGGCCAGGGGGCTGCTCTGAGGAGAGCGGGCGTGGCTTTGGTCCCGCTGCCTGCAGCAGGCTGGCGCTCCAGCCCCTGGTGGGGTTTGCGTGGCCCCCGTCCCAGTGCTGAGCTCCTGGAGGGCACAGGTCCCCACTTCCGCGCTACCCCTCCCAGGCAGCTGAGCCGGGCCGGGCCCCACCTGCGGCCGGGCTGTGCGGCGAGAGGGCTGCCCGTGGCGGTGGGGCCCTCCTGGGAACGCACCTCCTGGCTTCCGTGGAGCCGCATCCCATGGGAATGGACATGACCGCTCGGGCCCCAGACTGGGCAGGGTGCCCGAGGGCGGGGCATGGGCGGCGGCCAGCCCTCCTGCCCGAGGACACCTGGAGGAGTGGGCCAGGGCCCCGCCGAGCTTCCACCGCTGCTCCCCCCGCAGGGACCCGGCCGCCCGCCGCCTCAGAGCTGGCCTCGGGACGGCCCCGCGGAGCGGGCGGTGTGGGCCCAAGCCGGCGCCCGTCCCCGGTCGGAGGGGCCCCTCCTGGCTGGTCAGCGGGCCCCATGCCCAGCTGCCCCAGGCTGCTGCCCCTTCGGCCGGGCCCCTGGGCTCCTTTTTTTTTTTTTAGGTTTATTTATTTATGCTACAAGAGCTGGGGTGCCAACGGGGGCGTGGGGTGAGACACTCCCCAGAGACAGAGCGGGGAGCAGAAAGGGCAGGTCCACTGAAATCCCCGGCTGAGGGGAGCAGCGGGGAGACGGGAGAGGTCTGCGGCGCCCTGTGGGCAGCTCCCTGGCCGGGGACGGAACTCGCGCTGCAGAGGCTGCGGGCAGCTTCACTGGGCTGTGCTCAACCCCCTGCGCGCCAGGGAGCCGCTCCCCTGGGCTCTTGCTCTTTACGGGTCCTGCCTCAAGATCACCGTGACCTCTGCCCCGTGCCTCGGCCTCACCGTGGCCTCGCTGTGTGCGGTGGGCTAGACCTCTGGCTCCCGGGGCTCCCAGGCCTGCCTCCCCCTCATGCCAGCCTGGCCTGTGGGTTCTGAGAGAGACCACGCGCCCGCCTCTGTGCAGGCTCTTCCCTCCGGCACAATGCAGTTCCCCGCGGGGCTGGCTCCTCGGGCTGGGTTCTGCCATCCCCTTGGGTGAGTCTCGCTGATTCTGAAGGGTCTTGGTCCGGCCTCCACCGGCTCATTCCCTGCACATTTTGAAGCGCCAGCGCCTGCCCTCCACCAGCAGCGTTTGCTGCCATCGCACGCCGGGCGGGGAGGGGCCTGAGAGCAGGTCCTGGGGGTGTGGGGTCGCTGTCCGGGCCGGGAGCAGCGATGCGGGGTGTCGGCCAGCCGGGTTTTCAACAAGGGCAGGTAGCCAGGACCAGGGGCACTAGCCACTGCCAGGACCCGGCCCAGGTGGGCCCCGCCCACTTCTGTCAGAGCCCTGGACCAGTCTTGGCTCCGCCCGCCTGCTCGAGGCTGCCCCCCCTCGCTGGCAGCTCCCCGGGGCAGCCTTGTCCCCTGGGTGCCCACCTGCAGAATGGGCTGAGCGAGCGCTGCGGGGCTGTGCGGCGGACAGGCCGCAGCGAGGGGGTCTTCCTGCGAACAGGCCCGGCCCACGGCCTCTAGATGCTGTGCCAGCTGATGGCCTGAGCCCCCCTCCCTCCGCTCGCAGGCAGGGCCGCGGCCGGGCCTCCTCTCTGGGGGGCTGCGGGCGGGCTGTACGAGGTCCTGCCTGCGGCTCAGGCTTGCTGGTGCCGTGGCGCTCCGGGGCCTCTGCGTGCCAGGCCGGGCGCACCTTGCCGCGGGGGCGGGGCGCGTCACAGCTGGAAAGCAGAGGCTCGGGAGTGGGCTGACGGCTCGCCGTCCCGGAGTGAGCGTGTGGGTCCAGGCACGCTCCTGTGTGCCAGGCGTGCACGGCCTGCCCCGGTCACCACCTCCCCCCTTGCTTCAGCCCCAGCCCCCGCCCTGTGACCGCTGTGGCCACTGCCCTCCTGCCCCTGGAGCAGCGCCCCCTTGGGGCCGGGGGCCCGCCCTGGCCCCTGCCGACCAGCTGGTGCAGGCCTGGCGTCTGTCTGTCTGTCTGCCCTCCCCTGCTTTGTCTCGAGCCGTCGAAAATCCCCGTCTCTGTGGCTGCCGCAACCGGTGAAGGGTTTTAAAAATAGGGCCCATTTACTTGCTGGGGTGATGGGGAGGAGAGCGGGGCCAGCTGCCTCTCGGGCCCAGGCCCTGGCCCCACCTGCCCCCTCGACTGTAGAGCCCGCTGCGGGGCGGGGGCGCCGGGCACTGGTGGTGTCAGCTGCTCCGCACGGCTCTCCGGGCAGGCGGTGGGGGCAGCGGCAGCTGTGCGCCCGCGCGGCCAGCGCTACCAGGTGTCCTGGCGCCTGGGGCTTCCGAACAAGCCCCAGCCAGGGCCCGGCCCGGAACGGCTGCTCAGAGGCCGGAGGCCTGACCAGCGCCGCAGGGCCGTGCCGCCTGCCCCGGCAGCTCCGGGCCCTGGGGTGGGGCTGGGGCCGCGGCCTGTCCCCTCCCCTTCTCCCCTTCTCCAGACGCCTCCTCTCTGCCCATGCGGCCTCTTCTTCCTGCAAGGACAGCCGCGTCCCCAGGAGCCCCAGCCGTCTCCAGATCCCAGCGCCGCGTGTCTGCCAAGACCTGCTCCCGCACAGCCGGCGGGTGTGCGCGCCCCGGGAAGGGCCTCAGGGGCACGTGTGGGGCGTTGCACACATGCGCCAAAACCAGCTTGCCAGTGCACAGGAATGCGGGCACACGAAGTTTTATCGGAACGCGGCCGTCCCGTGCGCCCGGCTGCTCTCGGGGCCGCTGGGCCTGCGAGGTCAGGAGCAGCCACTGTGGGGCCCACACGGAAAGGCCGCGTCCTGCTCGGCTCCCCTGTGCACCTCCGGGGTGAAGGGGGGGACTCTGCCCTGCCGTGTGGGCGTGTCCACTCCGGCCTCCCCGGGGGGCCGTGGACTGTTGGGGAGGGCCGAGGCAGCCGCCACCAGGGCTCTCCTGTGGGAGAGTGGACACACAGGGTGGTGAGCTCTGCTGAGGTGCAGGCTGCAAGGCCGGGGTCTCCTCTGGGGTGCAGGAGTTCCCCGTCATCTCAGCGGGGAGCCTGAAAGGACCGTGGGGCGGTGTGGACACAGGGTGGGGATGCAGGTGGGGCCCGAGGGAAGATGTCCAGGCCCGGGCAGAAGCCGCGCTTTGATTCTGACGGAGAAGGGGGCCTCGCAGCCTCCTTGCTGCTGGGGTGGCCTGGAGGCCTGGGGGCCGGTTCTGGCCAGGCTGTGCCCAAGGGGCGAGACCTCGGGGCCCAGCGGCAGCCACAGAGGGCTGGGGCCGGTCCGTGGGGTGCGGTGGGTCCCTGGGCGGGGTCATCCCGCCTGGCTGGGGCGGCAGCGGCCGGGCGAGGCAGCAGGCAGGTCAAGTGCACTGCGTGTGCCAAGGGCCAACCCGCCGACGGCCTGGGGGTGCACGCTGAGCGGGGACCCACTGACGGCCCCAGGGGCTAGCTGGGCGCCCTGCACCTGCCGTGGAGCAGGAAGGGCCCACAGAGGCCCAGAGGTGCCGCGTGGTTTGTGGGCAAAGTGATTCTCTGGGGATGTCCTGGGGTCCCTAGAGGCGGCGGTGCGCGGAGCAGCCCCCAAAGACTGCAGCCGCGGAGGGCGGCGTCCAGGGGCAGCAGGGTGGGGGGCCGGCAGAGCGGGGCGACAGTGGGGGAGAGGGCAGGCTGTCCCTCAGAAGCTGCGCCCCCACCCTAATGACTTCTTTTTGCCCCCAGTGCCCTTTGGTTTGGGGGGCCTTTCTGTGCTCACGCCTTCCTTACTCTCTGACTGGGGACCCTGGGCGCCCCGACACCTCCATCACAGCACATGCCCTGCGCGCCTCTGACTTCCGCCTGGGTGGGGCCACCGTCTCCAGAGGGAGTTGCTGAAGCGGGGGACCTACAGCAGCCCAGGGCGGGGGCGGGGCGAGGGCGGTGGGCCCCTCCCGGACAGTCTGCGGAGGACGCCGTGAGCCCCCAGAGGGCCGGCAGCGGCCTCCTGCCCCTGGCCTCAGGGAGGGCCGCCCGGGACACGCCTGTCTCTGATCTGGTGGCAAAAACGAGGATGTGGGTCAGGTATTTGGGGGTTTGGCCCCTGCTGGGCTTCGCTGGGCCTGCTTTTCAGAGGCCGATGTGGACACCCCACCTCAGTCCTTGCTGCGGCTCCTCTGGACTTTGTCCTCTCTGCCACGGGTCCTAAAAGATGGGGCTCCTCCAGCTTCCCCTGGTCTCACCCCTAAATGTGCTGAAGTCACTGGCCCCAAGCCCCTCTCCCCTGCCCAAAGCTAGCCCGGCCCTCTGCCCTGTGGCCCCCGCAGGGGCCGTGCCGCGTCTGGAGCTGCACCCCGGGCCACCCGCCCAGAAGCCCACGGCCAGCAGTGGGGGCGGAGGGAACCCAACTCCAGTGAGACCCTGGGCACAGATGCCAGGGAGAGGTGCCCCTGGGTATGGCCGGCTGGTGCCCAGGCTGCACCTGCAGATGGTGGGGTGTGGCAGGAAGGGCCCGGGACAGGGTCAGCCCTGGGGGCCACAGTCAGGGGCCAGGCCGAGGGGAGCTCGTGGAGAGGGTGCAAGACCCCCAGGACGTGAGGCTGCTGGGCTTACTCGGTCACGACGGGCCCTGGGGCTCTCTGGCTGTGTCAGGGCCTGGGGGGGCTGCCGGGGCCCCTGGCAGGCGCCCCCGACAGCCCTGGCTTCTGCCCGCCTGCAGACTGCCTGCTGATGCTGGCCTACAAGGACAAGCTGGAGCGGGTCAAGGGCCTGCGGGAGCGCAGCAGCCTGATGCTGGAGGACATCTGTGGCCTGGAGCCGGGCCTGCCCTACGAGGGCCTGGCCCACACGCTCGCCATCGTCTGCCTGTCGCAGGCCGTCATGCTGGGCTTCGAGAGCCGCGAGGCCATGTGTGCCTGGGACACCCGGATCCGCTACGCGCTCGGGGAGGGTGAGTGATGCCGGCCAGGCCCAGGACGCTCCTGCCCCGCCCTGCCCACCCTGCCCACCCTGCCCTGCCCTGCCCGGCCCTGCCCCTGCCTGGGGCTCCCAGGGGTGCCGGGCGCGTGAGGGCGGGGCCTGCAGCCCCAGAGTGGCCCCTGCCTGGGGCGCGGGGCCTGGCTTGACCCTGAGTTGGAGCTGGAGCCTGTCGCCCAGTGGGCTGCGGCGCAGGGGTGCCTCACTGGCCAGCCCTGGGTCTAGAGCCGGTGTGGGGCTGCTGCTGTCCACACCTGCACCCCTTTCCGAGTGGCACGAGCCTGGACAGGGCCCTGAGGGGCTCCGGGGCAAGGACGAGGCCCAGGGTGGGGGAACCGAGGGGTCTGGGCCGGGAAGGGTGTCCATGGCGCGCAGCACTGGGAGAAGCCCTCGCTGCAGCTGGCCAGTCCCGAGTGTCCGGTGACCCACGCGGGGCTGTGCGGCACCCCAGACTTGGCCCCCGAGCCACTATTTCCCCCTCTGTGAAGCGGGCCCGCTCGCTGCTGGCAGGCGCGTCCCGCGGGAGGGGCTGGGGACGGGACAGCCCCGTGCCGGGTGGTTACCGGCAGCCACGGGGAGGGCAGCGGGCGGGCAGGGCCCGGGGGGGTGCGGGGCAGGCCCCCTGAGCCCCTGTGACGCCTGTCCCGCCCACCTCAGTGCACAGGTTCCCCGTGACGGTGGCCCCGGGCACCCAGCTGGAGAGCGGCCCCGCCAGCCTGCACCTCTGCAACGACCTCCTGGCGGTGGCCCGGGACGTGCCCCCGGTGGTCACCGGGCAGTGGAGGCTGCCCGACCTGCGGCGCTACGGGGCCGTGCCCAACGGCTTCATCTTCGAAGGGGGGACCAGGTGTGGGTACTGTAAGTACGGTGTGCACCCCGCGGCCTGGCCTGAGCCCGGCCCCGCTGGCGCCGCAGAAGCCCCAGGGGCCCCTGCCTGCGCTGGGCCTCTGGGCTGCCCAGGGACAGCGAAGGGAGCTGGGGGAAGCCCGGGCGGAGGGGGCGCCTGCCGCAGGGTGGCAAGGCCGGCTCCCTGGAGACCCGTTTGGTTTGCTGGGTGGGCAGGCGTGGCAGGCCTCGGGGTGCGGATGGGCTCCTGTCCGCTCAAGCCATCCCGGGCCCGAGGGCCACGCCACGAGGGCAGAGACAGATGGAGCCAGAAGGCCGGGTTGGGGCGCCCCCCTGAACGTGGCCCCACACCAGCTCCGCCCAGCAGGGCTGCTGGGGCCGTGGGCGCCCGGCCGGTGCTGCCCCGAGCAAGCCTGGGGCCCCAGGCTGTCCCGGCTGCCGACTGCTGGCCAGCGCCGCCCACACGGAAGGGGCGAAGGGACGGCGCCGTGCAGGGTGCGGTGGCTGGGCCCACCCTGTCCCTCCCGCAGGCCGCTGGGCTCCCGCCGGGCAGACTCCGCGCCCCCACTGCTCTGCGGCGTCAGCAGGGTGCTTGGACTCCGGGGAGACCTCTCGGCGGGGCAAGGACACGCTCCAGGGGCATGCTCATGGCCCAGGCTGCTCTGGACCCGGCCCCCAGAGGGGTGGAGGGCAAAGACAGCAGAAGGCCACCCCTCAGCCGCTCTGTCCTGAGTTGCGTGTGGGCAGCAGGCCTTCTCCCTGGGGCTGGGGCGGACCTGCCTGCTCGGCCGCCTCTCCCGCCTGTCCCGAGGGGCACCGGCCGCTGGGTGCCCCACACACCTGGCTGGGCTCACTCGCTTGCGGTGCAAAGGCCTTCTCCAAATAAGGTCACAGCCGCGGCCTGCTGTGGGAGCCCCCCGCAGGCCCCCTGCAGGCCCCCCGCAGGCCCCCCGCCGTCACCACGCCAGGCCACCTGGCTGGGGCAGGTGCTAGAATTTGGACCCGTGACGAGCCCTTGGCTCTGGGCACATTTGGAGCAGAGAGCAGGACGGGGTCTTCAGAAGACCCCAGAAGGACTTCACCTCTTTGCTCCCCAGCACAGGCCCAGACGACCCCATGCGGCAGGAGACTGGGAGGGGTGTGCAGGGGCGTGTGGGGCCCCTTGCACGGGGCCTTCCCAGCCCCAGAGGGCGTCAGGGGCCCAGACCCAGCCAGCTGGGGGCTTTGGGGGCTCTGCAGCGCCAGCCAGCTGTGGCGCTCAGAGGGGCGAGGCTATCCAGACACCCCCGAGGTGTGGGGCGTGACCTGCTGTGTGCACAGGGCCCTGCTGGGTGGGCTGGCCGGCGAGCTCGGGCAGGAGGACGCGCTGCCAGGTTGCAGAGAGCCGGTCCCAGGGCAGCAGGGGCCACAGGAGGGCCTTGAGCAGGAGAGGGAGGCAGTGAGCCAGGTGAGGGCCCGGGGGTGGCTGGGCTGAAGCTGAAGGAGCCCTGCCCCATGCTCTGCCCTGGGGGGGCCGTCCCAGGAGGGGCAGCCCCGCAGAGGCCCCTTTCCTTCCCGAGAGCCATGTCCACATGGGCGGGAGGAGACTGCGGCCCCCAGGCCTGGGCCACCTGTCACATTTTGGACACGTGGCGGCTGATCCCCTGCCACTGTGGAGCTGCGCGTGCCGGGGGAGCTTGGCCCAAGCTTGGCCTTCCTCCCAGGATGATTCCAGGCTCCCTGCGTGTCCAGGGCTCTGACCAGGAGGCTGCAGCTTGCCAGGGCGTGAGCTCGGGTAGGGCCAGCAGACCAGGGAGAGATGGACCGGCCACCCAGCAGGCCATACTCTTAGGGGATCTGGGCCTGCATGCCGCCCTGTGGTGTCTGTGCACCATCCCCATTGACAGGTGGGGAAATCGAGGCACGGAGCTGCGTGTGACCGGCCAGGTCTGTCCCACCAGTGCGGCGGAGCCGGGAGCCAGCCCAGGTGGCCTGGACGCATGCCCTGCTGTAGCACCCGCCTGCCCGGTGGCCCGCACTCCTTGGTCCCCAAGCCTCTGGCCCCCCAAGGGTGTTGGCCCCTGCTGGCCTCCCCCAGCAGAGAAGTGGCCCACGGGGCAGGCACAGCACCCTGCCCTCCAGGATGCCCCATGTGGCCGTGTCCCAGTTAACACTTGCCCCGTCTCCCCATGCTGGCGCCCACCCTGTCCCGTAAGTGGGGTCCCGGGGCTTGTGCTTTGTGTCTGGCTTATTTCCCTCAGCATCACGTCCTCCGGGCTCACCCACGGGGTCACTGGGGTCAGACGTCGTTCTTTAAGGCTGCGTAGTATTCCGCCGCGTGGAGGCCCTGTTTTGCCTGTGCCTCCGTCTGTTGGTGTCCTCTGGTGGCGTCCGCTCTGGGCTGTCGTGGACTCTGCTGCCCGTCCTTTTGGGCGCACCCCCACAGGTGGGACTGCTGGCTCCGTTAGTCTACTTGTAATTTACTGAGGCTCGTCCATCCCGTACCCGCAGCAGCGGCACCGTGTCAGGCCCGGCAGCAGGCGCGTGGGGCTTTTGTCCCCAGCCCCGCCCACGCTCGCTTCTCTGATTGCGTCTGTGTCTTCTGAGTGGGTGTGACGTGGTCGGGTGAGACATTTCAGTGTTGTCTGAAAATCGGGGCGGGGGGTTGTATGAACTCGTTTCATCAAACTTTGCTTCTTTCTCCTCAAATCAGAGGTGAGGAGAACAAAGTACTGGTAAGTGGCTGTTTTACTGGGAAACCCTGTGCCAGGCAGCGCCCCGAGGGGCCGGTGGGCTGTGCCAACTTCCGATTGCTGGGCTTGGCGCCAGGAAAGTCGGTGCTGTCTGGACAGAAGCTTTCTAGAAACTTCTCAGCATGACAGTCCTCCCATCCCTGAAGATGCTTCGTCCCTATCTGGCCTCTGTGGGATCTGTGTGCGCGGCAGTGGCCGTGACTGCGTGGCCCCCAAGGAGGAGCAGGGACGCGGGTGCTGGTAGAGGTGGGCCGCGGAGGCCCGCCCCTGAGTGGCCACAGGCCAGCCGCAAGCAGAGTCGCCCGCTGGACATGCAGAGAGTCTTCCCTTCACGGCGGGCGGGCTCTGGGCTGGACGCCATGGCTGTCCCACAGACAGCGGTGTCCCACAGCACCCTTACGCCCACGACGCCTGCCCACGTTGCAGTGCCCGCCGTCCTCTGTCCTGTTTCCTTGCGATCCCCTGGGTCGGGCTCGGGACAGCTGGCCCTGCTCCTGGGTGTGGGCATCACCTGGCAGTGGCGTCGGCGGGTGGCTTGGCTCAAGGTCCCCGACAGCCTCAGGAACATGTCTGGACCTTGGTGCCGACTGTAGGCCAGGGGTCAGGTCTTCTGGAGGGTTCCCTTGCCTGGGCGACCCGCTCCAGCAGGCCCCTCACCAGACCGTGGTTCCGAGAGCAAGAGCAGAAGCCGCCCTCGGGCCGGGCCCAGCCCCGGAGGGGCCTTTGGCCCCGCGGCCCCGGGTGAGCCCTGCTGGGGGAGGGCTGGGGACAGGGGGCGAGGCCACGCCGTCCGCAGGGGGAACCGACGCAGCGTGGAGAGCGGGCAGCTGCCCCCACCAGCCCCCCAAACAGACTTGCAAAGAGAAATGCCAAGATGCTTCCCTGGAGAGGAACGGGCCCCAGTGCTGGACCTGGGGGTCACAGACAACTCGGAAGTGGCCCTTGCTGCGGGGTGCTCGGCCTGCCCTGCGAAGCAGAGGCCAGTGAGCCATCAGGGGTTGGAGGTCAGGGGTCAGGAGCCGGAATGGGGAAGTTCCCTGCTGAGTCTTGACGGTGACGGGTCGGGCCAGGTGGCCGAGGGTGTCAGGGTGGGAGGCCGTTTCCGGTGGGGTGTCAGGTGGCCGGTCAGCTGGGGGCCTGGGGCGGGGGCCCCGAGAGGTCAACGAGCGCGTCCCGTGCGCCTCCTCTGCCCTCTGGGCCGGGCGCCCCCGCAGGCCGCCCGACTGGCAGGGGGCTCAGCCTGGTGACTCTGGGGAGCCCCGGCGCTGCCGCAGCGCCGCGGAGGTGCGGGCTCCGCTCCCTCTGTCATGTGGTTTTTTATAGTCAGGGACTGGCTGTGCCCGGCCGCTGCCAGCTGACCGTAAGCTGGGATTAGAGGCCCGGCTCTGTGAAGCCAGGCTGGCGGCGGGGCCGGGCTGGCCGATGAGACGCGCCTGGCGGCGCCCGGGACACGCCCGCCAGAGCCCAGCCCGGGCCTTCTGGGGAGCGCTGTCCCCGAGTGGGCACCGGTGGGGGCTGCCCCGCCTCTGGCCGCCCGAGGACACGCCCGGCAAGCTGGCCGTGCGGGCCGCGTCATGGCCCTTCTGTTCTTGGTCTCGTGTCTAAGCCAGTCGGGGGCCCGGCCGCGCTCCGTGGGAGGGTGGGACCCGCCCGAATGGGACCCGCCGGCCCCACGTTCTCCCTCCTTGCCCTCCCAGCCCCGCGCAGCCCCCGAGCCACCCCCACCTTTCCTGGGCAAAGGGCAGAGGGCACGCGGGGGAGGATTCCTGTGCGGTGACGCCAGGCCGGGCGTCCGGCCCCACGTGACCTGCTGGCCCCATTCACTCGCCGGCCGGCCCGGAGGGATTTCATTCACCTTGGCCCGGGCTCCCGGCCCAGCGGGGGCGGCACCGGGTGCTGACTCACCTCGCCCGCCCTGTGCTGCCCGCCCCCACCCTTCCCGCCACCCCAGCACCCAGCCTGAGCCCCCAGGGGCCCCACGCCCGCCCTAACTCCGCTGGGGGAGCCCCGGGGCACGCTGACCCTGCAGGCTGGGTCCCCTGCCGGAAACAGGCCCGGGGAAGAGTGGAGGGGCGCGGGCAGGGTGCGCAGGGCGTGTGGGGGCGCGCTCAGGGTCGTGGTGTGCGGCACAGTCAGGGGTGCGAGGACCTTGGTCAGCACCCTTCACTCTCAGGCGTCTGACCCCCACTTCAGCGTGCGAGGCGCCGGGGGTCCTCCAGCACCCTCCTGGGCCCCACATGGGCCCCCCTCCAGGCAGCCACCCCTCCAGCTGCTGCCCATTTGCCGTGGAGGCCGCGTTGCCTGCGTCCTGGTGCCCTCGGGGCCTCCCGGTGGCCGCCGTGCTCCAGCCGCAGCCCTTCCCCGTGCCGGCGGGCAGGGAGGACTTCCTCTCCCACCAGCTGCCGCCACGTGGCGAGGTTGCCCAGGCAGGCTGGGGCGCACAGGCCTGGGGGCAGTCCCAGACCCGGGAAGACAATCATGAGGCCTCTGGGCTCTGCCTCCTGCCAGGCTGCCTACCAGGGCCGGCTTCGGGGGTGCCCCACGTGCCCCGTCAGGCTGAGCCAGGGGTGTCCTCCTCTGCAGGGGCCGGAGTCTTCTTCCTGTCCTCGGCTGAGGGAGAGCAGATCAGCTTCCTGTTCGACTGCATCGTGCGCGGCATCTCCCCCACCAAGGGCCCCTTCGGGCTGCGGCCTGTCCTCCCAGGTGCTTGCGGCATGGGGGGGCCTGAGCCCATCAGCCGGGTCGGGGGTGGGGGCTGCCGCTCACCTGAGCTCCCAGGCACAGCCTCAGGGCCTGGAAGCTGCCCAGTGAGAGTGCTGGTGTGTGCGGTCTCAGAGCTTTTGGGGTGCACTGAGTTGGCCTCCCTTGTCCCCTGATTGTGGCCAAGAGCTCAGGGTAGGGCTGTTGCTGGGCCTTGAGGGGCCCAAAGCAGGGCTGGAGTCCAGGGTCCTGGCCCCTTCCTCCTGTGGTATGAGCTCTGTCCACCCTTGGGTGCGGCCTGGAGGCCCGAGTGTGGGAGACACCGGTGTCCTCAGCTCCCCATGTCCTTGGGTGAGGCCTACAGCAGGTGGCGGGTCCTCTTACGGTGTGTATCACCCCCCCCCCGCGCCCCCGCCCTGGGTTTGTCCAGCATGTAGGACACCACGGCCTGACCATGCAGCAGGTGGACAGAGCCTGTGGCTGCAGCCTCCTGAGGGACCACAGCCCGGGCCAGGGGCCCCCGTCTCCCAACCCAGCCCCCAAAGTCCACCCCCAGCCCCCACATGGGCTCAGGAGGGAGTCTGGGGTGGGGAAGGAGGCCGCCTGCAGGCCTCTGCTGGGCGGCTCGGCGGCGCCCTCTGCTGGCAGCCTCCTGCCTTGCAGCCGCAGGTGCGCGCTTGTGTGTGTGCAGGTGCGCGCTTGTGCGCGCAGGTGCGCCCGCGTGGGGGCAGGAGAGTGCGGAGTGGGGCAGGCTGGGGGCTCTGCCCCCTGCCCAGCAGGGTGGTATCGAAGCCCCATCACCGGGAGGTGTGGCCTCCCCGGGGCCATCCGTCTCCCCGGGGCTCCCGGGCCCGGCTGCGGGCCGCGCGCAGGCTGACCGCATGGACACGGAGGCGGGGCTGTCGCGGGGGGTTGGAGGCCAGGCCCTGGCGCCGAGCGTGGCGTCCACACTGCACGGTGCTGGGGGGCCGTGGGGCGGCCGAGGGCCTTAGACAGCGCGGACCCTTGACCAGCCGCCTTCTCTGCGCAGACCCGAGCCCCGGGGGGCCGGGCGCCCTGGAGGAGCGCGTGGCCCAGGAGGCCCTGGAGGCCCTGCAGCTGGAGAAGCGGCTCAGCCTCCTCTCGCACTCGGGCCGGCCGGGCAGCGGAGGTAGGGCGGGCTGCGGGCTGCGCGCGCGGGACCCGGCCCTCGCCCTCCCCCTCGCCCTCTGGCCCTCGCCCCTGGCCCTCGCCCTCCCCTGGCCCTCGCTGGCCTCGCCCTCCCCTGGCCCTCCTCCCCTGGGCCCTCCCCCTCCCTCCCCCTCGCCCTCCCCTGGCCCTCCCCTGGCCCTCGCTGGCCTCGCCCTCCCTGGCCCTCGCCCCTCGCCCCCTGGCCCTCGCCCTCCCCTGCCTCGCCCTCCCTGGGCCCTCGCCCCCCTGGGCCCTCCCGCTCCTCCCCTGGGCCCTCGCCCTCCCTCCCCTGGCCTCTCCCCTGGCCTCGCCCCTGGGCCTCGCCCTCCCCGCGCCCTCTGGGGGCCCTCGGGCGGCCCGGGCAGCTGGGCACCGTCTGTGCCCAGAAGAAATGGCCCAGGCCCGGTTGCTGGCCCGGAGCAGCGGCCCCTGCCGGTGACGCTGGGCACACGGTCCCTGGGGCGCGCCCGCGAGGAGCGGCTGCGGGGGGGGGGGGGGGGGGGCGCCAGGCCCCGCCTCCCTCCAGTCCCCACCCCCGCCAGGCCCCGCCTCCCTCCCTCCAGTCCCCACCCCACCAGGCCCCGCCTCCTCCAGTCCCCACCCCCACCAGGCCCCGCCTCCCTCCAGTCCCCACCCCACCAGGCCCCGCCTCCCTCCAGTCCCCACCCCCGCCAGGCCCCGCCTACCCGCCAGGCCCCGCCTCCCCCGCCAGGCCCCGCCCCGGAAGCAGGTGCCGGCTCGCACGGGGTCACTCTCGGGTCCGAGGGCGTCCAGGGCTCCAGGAGGCGGCGGGGAGAGGCGGGCGGGGAGCGGTCGCAGGGCCGGGGGCTCCAGCACCGGCACCCACGGCCGCCCGCCCCGCGCCAGGGGGTGACCGCCGCCCGCTCTCCGCCCCAGGGGATGACCGCAGCCTGTCCAGCTCGTCGTCGGAGGCCAGCCACTCGGACGTCGGCGCCGGCAGCCGGCTCCCCGCGTGGCCCGAGCCGTCCTCGTCCTCTGGCGGCGCATCCCAGGAGGGGCCCGGGCCGGCGGCAGCCCCCGCCCCCGGGGAGGCCGGGCCGGGCGCCTCCAGGCCGCCCCCCAAGCCCCGCGGCCGCGGCAGCTGCAGGAGGTCGGCCGCCAGAGCTCCTCGGACAGCGGCATCGCCACCGGCAGCCACTCCTCCTGCTCGGGCAGCTTCTCCTCCTGCGCGGGCAGCAGCCTGGACGTGTGGCGCGCCGGCGAGGAGTTCGGCTCGCTGCTCAGCCTGCCCCCGGCCGCCGGGGGCCCTGAGCCCCGCCCGTGCGCCTGCCCGCCGGGGCCCGCGGAGTACCAGGTGCCCACGGCCTGGCGGCACCACTATGACACGCCCCGCAGCCTGCGCCCGGCGCCCCGGGACCAGCCTCCTGCTGCAGCCGCCGGGGAGCCCAGTGACTCAGGTGGCCAGCCTGTGCCCACGGGGTGCCCCTCCAGCGGGCCGGGCGCACGGCCGCGCGGACAGGTGACTGAGGCCTCGGGCAGCGAGCCGGCGGGGCCGGCTCCCACCTGCTTCTCCACCTGTCCCATGTGTGGGGGTCTTAGGGTGAAGCCCCCGCCCTGAGCGGCGGCCGGGCCCATGGGGCGCTGGCCCCTGGTGGAGGGCGCCCTTTGCGCCGCAGGGTGGACCTGGCCGCAGGCGGCTCCGCAGTGGGTGGGGGTCCTCGAGGGGAGGCCACGGCAGCATGTGTGGTGCGTGCACAGGTGCCCTGGGCTGGCAGGACGCTCTCACCGGGATGGCGGGGCTGGGCTCTGCAGGGCCCTTTGGGACACCCTTCCCTGTCTTGCCCCCAGCTCCCCTGGGGACAGCTGCCTTCACCCGGCGCCCAGCACTCTGTGCAGCCCCTGCCCTAGAAATTGGCCCCACACAGCAGCAACACGCCCAGGGCCGACCTGCAGCCCCTTCCTGCTGTGCGCCCACCGCCTGCTCCCTGAGGGCACACTCAGGGCACAGCCTTCCTGTCCCTCGAGGGAGGAAACTGAGGCTCAGAGCACTGAGGACACGCGGATCTGCACCGTGTGATGCTGGGGCCCCGCTCTGCCCACGCCAGCCCTCCCTGAGCCTGGAGGCTCCGGGGCCTGGACGGGCTGGCGGGCACAGGGCCGCTGCCTTCCCCCAAGGCCCTCCCCGGGTAAAACTGAGCCGAAAGGCTTGTGTGGCATCGAGTGGCTGGGGCTCCCGCCACATGTGCAGGGCCAGCCTGGGAGGACCAGCCTGGCGGGTGCCCACCCGCGTGGTCGGCCGCATCTCGCACGCTGTGAGGGGCCTGGCCTCTGTCCGGCCCCGCAGCTCCGTCCCTGGCCGTCGGAACCGCCCGTCCGGGGAGAATGGCCTCTGTAAATATCCTGCTCTCCCTTCCCCGGTGGCTGAGGGCGTTGGTGGCTCTTTTACATTTTTCAGTCAGACACTGTGATACACTCAGACCGGAAATAAAGCGCTCTTTTCCTACCGGCTCGTCCTGTTGCATTCGGCCCGCCTTCGCCTGCCTGCCCCGCAGCGGGTACCCCCCCCCCGCCCCGGGCCAGAGCACACGTGGGGCTGCAGGCGCAGGAGCGGCCCTCAGATGGCCTGGCCCAGACGTGGTGCGTGCAGCGTGGGGTGTGCACGCGTGTGGGGCATGCAGCGTGGAGCGTTTACCTGCACGTGTGTGCAGAGCATGTATGCGTGTAGTGCACATGTATGTTGCCTGTGTGCATGTGCCGAGGTGTGAGCTCACGTGTGGCCTGTGCGCGCTGGCGCGCAAGTGGCCTGTTACAGGTGCTGTCTGTGCAGGCACACACGTGTGTGTGGTGTATACACTGTGGTGTGTGCGTGAGTGGCGTGCCTGTGCCTGTGCGCGTGTGTGTGAGCGTGCATGCGTGTGTGGTCTGTGGGGGGTGAGCTTGGGGGCTTGTGTGCTCCCTGGGCCACGGTGGGGTCCGTGCGGTCCTCGGGGCCCAGGCAGCTGGCCCGGGGTCCTGCTGGGGTGCAGTGCTCTGCTGTGGGGCCAGGGAGGGTCCCGGTTCCTAGGCAGGCGCTGGGGCCCAGGTCTCGTGCCATCCGGGGCCCTCGCGCTCCCTGCCACGCCACACACTCTCACCCTGCTGGGAGGGCAGGAGCTCTGGGCAGCCCTGCACCCCAGCATGGGGAAGGCAGGATTTAGGGCCCGAGCTGGGGACCCACCCAGTGACTGAGTGGCTCCAGGCAAGTCACCCCACCTCTCTGAGCCTCCGTTTCCTCTTTCGTGAGTGGGGATGGCTGTCCCTGCCTCCCTCGGGGCGCGAGGGTCCAGCGAGGTCACAGGCGCCCCCGTGCGGCCACTGCTGGCATCTCCGCCCCAGACGACCCTCCAGTCTCGTCTCACAGGAAACAAGGCCGTGGCCCCTGGTGCCGCTGGCCGAAGGGCCTGACCAAGTGGACAGAAGCCCAAGTGGCTGAATGAATCACCCCCATGTGTAGCGGGCGAGGGGTAGCTGGGTGCGCCGCTGGCCAGGCCCCATATGGGCATTTGGCTGAGGGCTTGGGGCCCCTGACTGAGGTGAAGGCCAGGCAATTAGGGAGGGGCCCCACGTGGGGCCAGGGGCTGGGCGGGACTGCCAGGGCAGCCGCAGCTGCAGGACATCGCTGCCCCTCCCACCTACTGGCCGGGGTCTCCGCCTGGGACTTGTGGGGTGGCAGACAGGGCCACTGTGGTCTAGCGGCGGCCTCCAGGCAGGGGGCAAAAGGGCCTGCATTTGTAGCCACCCAGAGGCAGCATCAGGGGTGATGCCGCACCCCAGCACTGGCCCCAAAGCAGGTTGTGGGGGGGCTGAGAAGCTGGGCTCTGCCCACTGGCACTGGGCAGGACCTCCGCCTTCCTGGGGAGTGGGTGGAACTCTGCACCCATACTAGCCGCAGCCCCTGTCCCTCCCCTGGACACCCTGCTACCCTCCCCAGACACAGGAGGACCCACCCCTTCCGGTGACCTGGCCCTTCCTGCCCATGGGGCCTGCTCCCCGAGGGACCTGGGCAGGAATGAATATGCCAGCTCCGCGCCCCCCCCCGCCCCCTGCAGGCAGCCCTCCCCAGCTCACAGCCCCGGGCCCTTCCGGTCCAGCAGTGGCCGAGGTCCGTGAGCCAGACCTGCTTCTACAGGAGCAGGGGAGTGGCCATGGCTGAGCTGTCCAGTCCCGCCCAGTGCCATCTGGGCCTGTGTGAGGGGTCCGTGAGATAGGCAGCCAGCCCCCCACCTGGAATTTGGGGTTGGCATCTGACACTCAGAGGGGAGCAGGATGGACAGACTGACCACTGTCCTCTGTCCTAGGGAGCAGCTGCCTCACCCCCTGGGACCCCGATGGTGTATTCAGGTAGGCACCCCTCAGCCAGACAGGAGTGGGGGTCAGGGTGTGTGGCAGGAAGATCTACCAGGCTGGGCACCGGGTGGCAGTGGACAGTGGGTGGGGGGCAGGCAGTGGCCGCGGCCCGAGTGCTGGCTGGGGGGGCAGCCATGACTAGGGATGGTGGGGCTGCGCCTGGCAGCTTGTCAAGAGGTGGGTGGACAGTGGCCTCGGAGCCCCACCAAGGGGTGGACTCCCAGCGTGGGGGTGGCTGCTGGGGGACAGGACGGGGCGGGGCCTCTGCCCTCTCCCGGGCTGACTGCTTCCCTGTGGGACCCCGGAGCCCAGGGGCAGGGGCTACACCCCGCTGTGCCCGCGCGGCACCCCAGGGGGCTGGAGTGAAGTCAGCAAGCGCAGGCCGCTGCGGGCGCGGCCGCCATCTCCTGGAGGGGGCCTTGAGGGCCGGGGCACCCGGCGGCCGGGAGGACCCCGAGGCCCGGCCGCGTGGAGGGGGGGCAGGCAGCTGGCGCCTCACCCGCTCTCCGCAGGCGCCCCGGGGCCGGCCCGGCCACGCCAACCTCCCGCTCGGCCCCGCCCCGCAAGCAGCAGCCGCTCCACCCGGGCCTGGAGCTGCCCGAGGCCATGCGCGGGTCGAGGTGGGTCAGGCGGGCCCGTTTGGGGGGCGCCCGGGGTGGGGGCGGCCCCGCCCGCAGGGGCGCCCCTCGTGCCACGGTGGCCACGCGCCCTGTCCTGCCGGGGCTGGTGCCTCGGGCTACCCGCGCATTGACTCTGCAGCCTCGGAGGCGCCCGGCGCGCAGAGGCGGGAGCAGCGGCCCGACGGGGCGCAGGGGGCCCCTGCACTGAGGCGCCGGCGGGCTGCCCGCGGGTGGACGGCGGGGCCTCTCATGGCCAGAAGGTCCCAAGGCCCGGGGCGCCGCCGGGTCCTGCCCGCGCGCCCCCCGCCGTCTAGCGTCCAGTTCCTCGGCCCAGCGAGGACTCTGCAGGGCGCGGGCCTCCCCCCGTGGCCAGGGCTGGCACAGGCCCGCAGACACAGCCCCTCGGCCAGGCGAGGGCCCGACAGCCCTGGGGGGGTGTCTGGGCTCGGGACAGGACGGGGCTCTCCGGGGAGGGCTGGGCGGCCGGCCCTCTGGGCGGGTCCAGTGGGGGCTCCCGTGCTTCCTCCTGAGCTTGTCCCCAGCCGGCCCGGGCAAGACCCTGGCGGCCTGGCCTGGCCCCGCGTCCCATCTGGTGGAGGCCGGAGCTCCAGGCCTCACAGCACCAAGGGTGGGAGGCCAGCGTCCAGCCAGCGTCCAGCCAGCTCGCTGGTCTTCAAAGTGCATCAGGGGCTGTTTCCTCGATGCCAACGCAGGGTCTGGGTGTGTGAGGCCCCAGGAAGGGTGGGGGTGAGGCCACATTCCCCCCTGCACTGCTGAGACCAAGGGGTCCCGGAAGCACCCCCTGGAGAAGTCTGGACCTGCAGGACACCCCACTGTGGGGACAGGCCAGAGAAAGTGGTGTGTGTCTGGGAGGCCTCGAGGGGCCCAGGTCAAGGTCAGGAAGGGGGGGGCCTGGGCAGTCTCCCTCCAGCCCAGGGAGGCTTCAGGCTCTGGACAGCCACCCAGGGCCTGGGCGTAGGGAGATGGACACATCTGTTCTCCAGGCTGAGGGCATCAGCAATGCTGGGGTGCCAGAGCCCAAAACGGGGTCACCCTGCAAAAGATGCTGAGGCCTGGAGAGGTGAGGCACACAGCCGTGAAGGTCCTGGCAACCCAGGACCCCAACTTGAGCTCTGGCCTGGCCACGCCCCAGCCTCCTCCAGCCTGTGAGGGCCAGACTGGGGCCTCCCGCAAGGTCCACCGGTGCGGGGGGCAGGACGCAGCCCGCAGGGCTTCTCAGCCCAGGAGGCAGGCTCGCCTGAAGAGTGGCCCAGAGGTGCCCTGCACAGGGATGCCGGGCTGCAGAGCCGCCCCGAAAGGTGGCCGTGGGGCCAGAGCAGTGTGGCTCAGGCGCCGACCCGAGGCGGTGGGCAGCGTGCAGGCCACAGGGCCTTCACACGCCTGGTCCCGCAGAGGCCGGGGCCTCCGCTCGCGACCACCTCACGGGGCGGGCGCCGGCTCTGCCTCCGCGGCGTCCCCCTCCCCGCCTCCGCCCCATGGTGTTCATCCCGGAGCCCGCTCTGAGGCGGAGCGCTCCCGCGTCACGGCTTCTGGATGCCGCCCGGCCCCAGGGCTGCCTCTTCGCGACGCTCTTCGCGTGACTCCCTCCGTGGTGGGGACCCCCCACCTGTTTCCAGGAGCCCATTATGTGGCGCCTGGCCTGGCTCAGGCATCTGATGGCTTGGAAACCCCGACCTGAGCATGGGCCCCGCCCCCGCCTGGGCCATCTCTCCAGCACGCAGTGACTGTGCCACCTCCTCTGGCTGCGAGAGGCCTCGAGCCTGGCACTGTTACGAGCCTGCCCGCCAAGGCCTCTGGATGCCCCTGCGTGGCAGCAGAGTGCCCGGGTCAGGCTGGACGTGCCTCTTTGGGGAGTTCCGGTCCTCAACAAGCTGGCTGCGCGCCCACCTTTGATCTGCCGCCTGGAGGGCGCGGGTGTCCCCCACGCTCCCTGGCATGCCTGTGGTGACCGCTACCTGGAGCCTCTCGTGAGCCAAGTGGCCACGTGGGCCTCAGTCGGGACCTGCTGCCCTCACCAGGTCTGAGTGAGGGTGTGCTCAGAGACCCCGCCCGGCCCAGAACCCCCTGGACAACGTGACGGTGTGGAGGGGCGGCTTCTAGCACGGGACGAAGCTCACCATGGAGCTAAACAACAGAAACAGGAAGTCAGGAGCCAGTGACAGGTGCCCGCGTCCAGCACCTGCCCAGCGAACACACACAGGAGCCTGAAGGGAAGGTGGCTGGGAGGGCCCCGCAGGGCCTGGACTGAGCCACACCCCAGAGAGCCCCCGGGGGAGCCTCAGCCATAGGTGCGCGCCCGCCCCGCCCGCCCCAGGGAAGGAGCCCCTCGCTGTGTAGCGGAACCAAACCTCATTAAAGGCCGAGAGTCTGAGTCGCTCCACTGAGGTAGCAGCGGACACCCCCTCGCCCGCGCGGGCCCCAGCGGAGGGATGGGTGAAGCCGGCCCCGGGGTGGAGGGCCGCAGCCCCGCCACCTCTTACAGGCCTGGGCCCCACCTCCCGACCTGATGGCCTCCCAGAGCCCCACCTCCAACCCCCACCCCAGGCGCGGCTTCCGCATGGACTTCTGGGTCCGAGGCCCTGGGGCGGGAGCCCAGGCTCGCTCTGGTCGGCGCCAACATGGGCTCCGGCGCCAACATGAGCTCTGCTCGAGCAGGACCCGCCCCGCCTCCCTAGGAGGCCCGGCCCCCGGGGCAGCTCCTCTCTGCGCTACGTGGGTCCCGCGCTGGGCCTGGGCGTGAGGTGGCCACTCGGAAAGGAAGCCTCTGCCAGGCGCAGACCTGGTGCCCCTCCCCGGAGCCTCCCTCAGGGAGCTGGGCACAGAGGGGGCCCCAAGGCTCTTCCCGACCCCACCCTGCAGAGGCCGGGAAATGAGCCCTGCGGCACCCCACACCGCGGGGAAGGCTGCGCGGCGGGGCCAGGCTCACACAGAGGGACTGCCAGGCCGGGGGCAGAGGGAGCCCCCAAGCTGCTCATGGCGCCTGAGAGGGGCTCACACCACACAGTGGGGGCAGCAGAGCGCAGGACAGAATATGGAGTGGCCACGCCGAGTGTATTGGGGGCTTCGGGCACAGCGTGACCAATAGACTCACGGGGCAACAGAGACCATGAGGCTGTGGCAGGAACCTTCCCGCAGGGGCGTGGCCTCTCCAGAGGTGACAGGCTCCCAGTGGTGAGGGCAGCCCAGCTGGATGGTGATGTTGCGTCCAGCTCTCCCCTGGGCTTCTGGGGCCGCCTGCCACCCTCGCCAAGTCCTGGCCTGTGCCTGCAGTGGGGCTCAGAGTTCGTTGTGGCGCGCTCTGGAGATTCTGCCCGACAGGTCCTGCAGGTGCTTCTTCACCTGCGGGAACAGTGGGTGAACTGGGGCCTGGCGCGGCCGCCGTGCCCTCACACCTGCTGCGCCCCTCACCGAGTGGGTGGCAGCAAGGCTGCGGGGCACCAACCAGGAGGAGCTGACGCGCAGCCCCACGGTCTCGACACGCCTGCTCCCCACGTGGCCGCAGGAGCCTGGCCAGGCGTCCTGGGCGCTGGCCCTGTGCCTGCTGACCCCCGGCCTGGCCCTTCTGCGCACATGCCTGGTTCTCGCCAAGCCCGGAGCCGGCTGCCTCCCTGACGTGGGGGGCTAGGGGGGTTGGGAAGGACCCTGCAGGGAGTCTGATGGGCGTCCACGGCCTCTCGGAGTAGAGAGTCCAGCCTGCCGGCACTTCCCACCCTCACCAGGCCGCCCACTCGTCTCGTCCACACCCGCACAGCACACCGGGACGCTAATTTCAGGATCACTCTCTGCAGGGTGGGCCCCTGCCCCCGACTTCTGCCCTGCCCCCTGGCAGACCCCAACCTGCCTTCCTGGTACTTTGCCTACTTTCGCCCTACTTAGTTTTGACTGGCCAGGGACTGGCTTGTGGTCCATAATGCAAAAGTGCTAAGGAGGCCCCGCCTGCCACCACCTGTTCTTCGCAGAGGCGTGGGCCTCCCTGCCCCGGCCGCAGGGTCCGGGCTGTGGGCGCAGCCAGGAGTCTGGGGCCCCTGCCAGTGCCATCTGGAAGGAGCCCACCCTGCGGGGGTAAGCCAGGAGCGGAGCCTACCCAGAGGCCTCGCGGGCATGGCAGTCCCTGTCTCTGATGGACATGTGCCCTCCCCCACGCCGGCGCGAGCCAGGACAATCTCCAGAGAGTCTGTGCCACTGCGCCTGGGACCACGGCGTCGACCCAAGGGCTCAGACACCAGCCGCGAGGCCGGCAGGGGCTGCCCACACCCCTGGCAGGTCGCTGGGCTAAGGACAGGACAGGCGTGTGCCTGCAACAGGCCCGCAGGCAGCCAGGGGCGAGGAGGGGCGTGGGGGGGGACTGTGCACATGGTGGGGGGGGAAGGCCCCTGCCCACCTTGTAGCCCAGCTCTTTGGTCTTCTCCTCCAGCAGGGCGTAGCGCTCCTTGCTCCGGCCGACGTGCTCCCGGTCCCCGGTGCTCTCCACGTGCTTGAGCTTCTGGTGCGAGATCTGCAGCTGCTCCTGGTAGTGCTTGTGCTTTTCAACCTTGACCTCAAAGTGCTTCAGCTCCTCCTGGAACAGGCATCAGCACTCGCTGCCCCCGCACGCCCTGATGCCAGAGTCCACAGATGCCCCTGGGTGCCCCCAGGGCAGGCCGCACGCCCTGGGCAGGGCTGGGTGCTGCTGGGGATGGGGTCCCGCAGGAGGGGGTTCCCAAAGGCTGGACATGGCAGGGATACCCACTGACCGCCCTCAGGGCCCCCCTGCACCGTCTTCCAGGTGCAGCCGTGAGAAGTGTCTCGGCAGTGTCTCCAGGCCTGCAGCCCCAGGCTGCGTCAGACCCTCCAGAACCCCCACGGGCCCAGAGAGCTCGCCTGGCCCGGGGGCTGGGTCACAACAGGGGCCCAAGATGCCCAGGCTGCCCACCAAAGCCCCGCTCCCCAAGCCCAGCAAAGGGCCCCTGTGCAGGGTCTTGCCCCCGGACTATCCCTCACCCCCCATTCCCTGCTGGCATGTCCGAGCGCCCTGGCGCACTGACCCGAGGAGCAAGGCCGAGCACAGGGCTGGCCGGGGAGCCAGGGCCGGTCCTGGCCTTACCCGCAACGACTCCAGCTCCTTCTCGGAGAAGTTGGCAGACCTGGCCAGCTCCCACAGCTCTGTCACGCGCGGCTCCTCGAACTCTGGCAGAGAAGGGTGGGCTGAGCAACCCGCAGGGAGGCGAGGCTCCCTGGTGGCCCGGGGCCTGGTGTGCACATGCGACACCCTCTGGCAGCAGCCTGGGCTCCCTGCCAGGGCATCCAGCCTGCAGCTCACAGGGCCTGCAGGGACGAGGCCTGGGATGTGGCCTCGGGGATGCCCTCACCTGCAGTCTGGCCCCAGAGAAGTGGGGAGACCCCAGCCTACCCCCAGAAAACCAGGGTAAAGCTCCCAAATGGAGCAGCCGGCTGCATGGTCAAGGGTCAGGAAGGTGGGCAGATGCCGAGGAGACTGGGGGGTGGAGCAGGACAGCAAGCCCAGCGGCAGGTGGCCTAGGCAAAGAGGGGGCGCTCACCAGCCGGCCGGGTGCCATAGCCCTGGTGGCTGACCTCCCGCAGGCGGTCGAAGCCCTGGTTGAGGGCCCGCAGCCGGTCCTTGAGCTCGGCGTGCTTGTCCCGCAGCAGCTCCTGCTGGGCTGGGCCCAGGCCCGCCGGCCTGATGTCATTCTCGTGGACGTCTGGGCAGACAGCGGCGCCCCTGAGGCCTCAGCGGCTGGGGACACCCACTCCGCCCTCCCCGATGCCGACTCAGGGAAGGGAACCGCGAGCAGGTCCCGGGCCAGAGAGCCCCAGAGGCCCGTGCAGGGTCCAGGAGGCCCCCACCCCTGCGGAGAAGCTGGAAACACCGTGGGCGCCCCAGGGCCCTGCGGCATGAGCCAGTGCAGGGGCCGCCGCACCTTCGGTCCTGCTCAGGGCCTCCAGCAGGATGTTGTACTCCTGGACCTTCTCCCTGTGGTGCTGAAACTCCCGCCACAGCTTGTCCAGGTCCTCACTGGAGAATTTCCCGGAGGTTGTAGCCTGAGGAGAAGGTGCCAGAGCCTGCCCCCGCGCCCCGCTCCGTGTTCCCCTGGGGGCACACAGGTGCCCACCACTGCCCGGCCCCTTAGGGTCAGAAAGGCCTTGCCTCCGAGTGGGCGCTGCACTTGCTGCTCACGCCCTTCACTGGGGGGGTGACAGGAAGGTGAGAACCAACACGGCTGCCGTGAGATCACCGAGGCCGATGGCATGGGGGCAGCGGCCAGTCACTGCGTGGCCACCACACCTACCCCAGGGGTGTGGCCACAGGAGGTCCCGCCCCCCCACCCCTGCTGCAGCCCTTGTGACCCAGGACGAGGGGGCTGATGGAGAATTCCAAGTCTAGACCCCACTCAATGGAGTCAAGACAGAATGTTCTGGGCCAGGACTGGGCGAGTAAGGGGACTGAAGCTGGCTTGGCCCCAACTTGAGGTCTGTACCCCCACTTGACTCCCACAGAGCTCAGCGGGAGCAAGCCCAGTTATGGTGACAGGAAGCAACGCTGCCCCCATGCCCCCCCAGTGGCTGCAGCGCAGCAAGGGCCATGGCAGAACTGGCTGGTCGCGGGCGGTGCACGGAGGTACCTTGTGCCACAGCTTCTCCAGCCGGGGGTCCCCCAGGCCGTCCTCCTGGGCGCTGTCGCCAATGGCGTTGCTGCTCACCTCGTGGGCGTCCTTTCTGTCCTTCCTCCCGTCCAGACCGTACTTGGCCACGATGACTAGGAGAGGGGCACGTCTCACCCGGGACGCCGTCCCGAGGGACAGCCACCCCACATGCTTGCCTGATGCCCGCAGGCTGGCCAGGTGCAGGGGTGTGGGGGCGCGGGAGCGCAGGCGGTCCAGGCCCCCCACTCTGCTGTCGCACTGGGCAAGCCGCGGGAGGGCCGCCAGCAGTGCCGGAGCCAGTGCCTCTGGTGGGGGCTGGGGGGCAGGAAGCAGGGCCTGCGGGGCGCCACACTGGCTCTCGCCTGGGACAGTCGGCGGAGCTGCCCCTCCGTGGACCCCCAAGAACAAGTCATCCCCCACGCCCACCTGAGCAGCTGGCCCCTGGGCCATTCCCGCTTCCTCTTCCGGGTGGCCCTGGGCATCCAGTCAGCCCCCCACCTCTTCCCTGGGTCCAGCAGCCCCAGGGTCTTCGGCTGCTGTGTTGAGGGCCAAAGTCCCCCCTGCGCTCCCCCCAGCCAGCCGACAGCCTCAGAGCACAGCCTGCAGGGGGGCCCGGCCGAGGGCGGCGCTGGCCTGGAGGCCCCGAGCGGCCTGCGGGAAAGGGACTGTACCGCTGAGGCTGCGCCGCAGTGCGGCCTCCTTCTCCCCATCTCCGTCTAAGCCTTCCAGCTTCAGCTTCTTCCAGATGAACTCGTCCCTTTCTTGCATCTTCAGGTCAGCGTGCAGCTCGGACAGCTTCACAGGAGAGAGCTGAAGCTGCGGGAGACCAGAGGGCGTGCATGCGGCCAGAGCGGCCTGACAAAGGTGAGCAAGAGGCGTCTGCACCCCACCCGGTCCCTGCTCAGGAACAACCTTCGAGGACCCCCGCTCTCCCCGCAGCTCAGGCCTGCCTGAGGAGGGCAGATTCTAAACCCGGGCCCCCGGGGAGCAGTGCTGACGCCGAGCATGGGGGCAGCAGCTCCTGCGACAGCACAACCCCGCGTGGCCGCAGCGTGTTGAAGGCAGCAGGCCGATGGGTGGGGGCCGCAGGGCCCGGACAACGGAGGGGCCCGGGGCAGAGATGCGCCCCTCTTCTGGTGTTCTGTGAGGTCCACCAGAAACGTCCACAGCACGCAGAGGAGCGGGCTGAGGGGCACCTCACGGCAAAGTGTGCCCCCCCGCTGGCTGGGACGCCACCACGCGGGCATCAGGCCCCGGCTGACAGGGACCAGACGCTGCCCGGGAGGGCGGGAGTGCCCTGGGTTGGATGTGCTGAGGTCAGGGCGCCCGGGAAGCAGCGTAAGGGTGGCCCTGAGCTGGCAGCCAGCACCCACAGGGGCGCCTCCAACCGCTGCAAGGGCAAGTTGAACATCAACACGCCCCGTGAGAAGAGCCAGTTACCGGGCGGCAGAGCGGCGGCGGCGACAGCCCAGTCAACCATCAACCGCTCGTAGGGGCGCGGCCAAGGGCAGGGGCCGCATCCAGAGGGCAGAGTCAACTCCTGGCCTGCAGGCGCTGGGGGGCCACGCTTGGGGCCGACCGCTCAGACCAGAGGGGCGAGGCTTGAGAGAGGAGCCCTCCCAGGAGTCTGGCAACCCCCGGAAGATGTCCTAAGAGCCAGGCTGGGAGAGGGCCCCTGGTTCCTGGCACAGCCCAGGGCCCTCCTGTCACAGGGACTGGTCAACCTCATGGAAGCCAGGGTCGTAGAGAGGGCTGGGGGCTCAGGCAAAGCCCCCTGGTTCCAGCTGGGCATGGAGGCCAGCCCAGGGTCCCCACTAGGAGAGGGTGGGCGGGCAAGTGGACTTCCTCTCCCCACACCTTTAAGTCCAGAGGGCGGAAAAAAACACCGCACGTTTTCACGCAGCGAAGGACAGAAAGGACCCACGAAGGGGCAGCAGCAGGTGGGCGCACACGAAGATGCTGCCCCGACAAGCTGCGCCGCCCACCTCAGGGCCTCTGGGTGAGAACCACTGCTCCAGAGGGACCCACGGCAGGAGGTGGGAGGCAGCTGGGGCCTGAGGGCTGTGCTCCGAGCCACCGTGACGTCCAGTGGAGACGCTGGGCACTGACTCTGGACCCGAGGCCATCTGAGCCACACCCCTGCCCCCCCAGGATCTCCCATCAATGCCTACAAGCTTCTGGGGTCAGGAGATGAGCAGGTGGAGTCATGGCATGGGCTGTGCAACAGGAGGCCCCCGGGACATGGGGAGGATACAGGAAACGCCGCGGTGTCCACCCGACCCGGAGGACCTGGACATCTTATTTGCATAGAGGACCGGAAAGTTTAGGACTCGGGGGGCCGCTGGGGAGGGCATCTGGGCCAGGGTGCCAGGGCGGGGGTTCCTGAGGAGCGTGGTGGTCAGGCCCTTGAGCAGATGGAGATGAGGACTGAAAGCTGGAGAGGCCGGGGGCATCCAGGTGCAAGGCCAAGGGAGTAGCTGACCAGGCCGACAGGCCACGCACCAGCTCCCCACTCCTTTCTGCTTCCTGCTGCCGCGTCCCTTCCAGGCCCCTCTCCAGGGGCAGCCTCCCTGCCTCTCCCTTACCTCTGCAGGCTGAGCCCACACCACAGGCCTGGACAGTGGGCCCAGGAGAAGCAAAATAGTGGCCTGTTGACCCAATGCCCTCGGCGTCAACCCTGGGCCCACTGCTGGTCCCTCCTACCACCCCCTGCCAGCTCTCTCTTCCTTCCCAAAGTTTCTCTTTTCTCTTCCGAGCTCAGTCTTCATCTGCAAGCAGATTCAAGAATGCTTAAATGCTGGGCCAGCACCTGACAGATGAAGATACTGAGGTGGTTCGTAAACACCCATCTGCGCACTGCACCGGGCCCACAGAGGGAAGTCCAGGCGGGTTCAGGCGAAGACCTTGGGATGCCCTTTCCAGAGGCCCTGGATCCTCAGCAGTAAATGAAGCCTCAGGGCAGCTCACCAACTGACCTCTCCCCCCAGCCCTGCCTTGCCCCCCGGGCGCAAGGGAGGGGGCTCTCCTGTCCCAAGAAGCCGCGGTAGGCAACATGGCCCACCTCCCTGCTTTCTGCACACAGGGGGACACAACTTGAGAGAGGCAAAGACCCGCAGACTGGAGACCCCACGGGCAGGCGGGCTCTGCGCCCCCACTTGAGGCCCCGTCAGAGAAGTGGCTGGGCCTGTGTGCGGGAGGGGGCTGCGGGGCGGCGCTAACTGGAATTCTCTCTCCAGAGCCGGTTCTCGGTCCTGCAGGAGGGTGTGGGGGCCTGCCCCCTCCCCCCACCTGTGCTGGGGGTGGGGGTAACACCTGACTCTACTGACCAGAGGTCAGTAGGGGGAACGGCACAGAGGCCCGGCCATCAGAGGGAAGAGTCCCCACCGGAGCCCCGTGACAGGGAACCCGGGTCTCACAGGCCACGCCTGGGGGGATCCGACCGCTGATGGGGGAGGCCCTGCCTGGCGGACCCCAGCGATGAGATGAGTCTGGGCCCCGGGATCGGAGGGCCCCGGGCCGGGTCGGAGGCCCAGGAGGGATCGGAGGGGCCGGGGCCGGGGCCCGGGCGGGGTCGGGGGGGCCGGGGCCCGGGCGGGGTCGGGGGGGTCGGGGCCCGGGCGGGGCCGGGGCCCGGGCGGGGTCGGGGGGGCCGGGGTCGGGGTCGGGGCCTTCTCACCCGCTGGGCCTTCTCCCACAGCTGGTTCAGCTTCTCCATGCGGAACTCCTCCCCGGGCGCGCGCGTCGGGGCCGGCCCCGGCTCGTTCTTCTCCCGCGAGTACTTGCCGCCGTGGCCCGCCGCCGGCCAGGGCCCGAGCAGCAGCAGCAGCAGCAGCAGCAGCCGCCGCGGGGGCGGGAGCCCGCGCCGCCCGGCCCGCGCCCTCGGCGACGCCATCTTCCTGCTCCGGCCGCCGCGACCCCGCGCGAGCCCGGGAGGCCTCGGCCCGCCCCGCCCGCCGCGCGGCCTCCTGGGAGTTGTAGTCCCGCCCCGCGCGGCAGGCCGGGCTCGGGCCGCTCGCGGACTACAAGTCCCGGGCAGCTCCGCGGAAACGCCCGCTCGTCTCCTCGGCAACCGCGGCGGCTCGTGACGCCGGGCTCCCGCGGGTTGCGGGCGGCGGCGCGCTGGCTGGGGAGGCGCCCGCCCCGCAGACCCCGGCGTCGGGCCGGCCCGGGCCCGTCGGCAACCCGGACCGAGCCTGCCCGGAGCCGTGGGGAGCCCCGGGGGGGCTCGGCCCCTGCCAGGAGGGCCGCCCCCGCCCGCCCCCGCCCGGGCCGGCCGCCTCAGCTGACCACCGCGCCCGGCGGCCGCGCGCGCGACCCGACTTTCCTGTCTTGTATTTTAAAGTTCCGTGGAGGCGCCGCGGCCTGCCCCGCCGAGCTTCCCCGCGGCTCCGCGGCTGCCCCCACCCGGCCCGGGCAGCCCGCGCCTGACCCGACCGCCCCGCGGCTGGGGCGTGGCGGGCTGTTGGGGAAACGGAGCCGGGCCTGGAGGCGGGCCGGGCGGGCGCGGGGTGCTCCGGAGCGACCCGAGGGCTGCGCTCGGCGGGGCAGCCGCGTCTTCAGGGCGTGGCCTTTCATTTCCCAGCACCTCGTTTCCCCACCTCGGCCCTCGCCCGCGCCGACCCTTCCTCCCGCGCCGCCTCAGAAGCCTCACCGCTGTGTCTGCTGCTGGTCTCTGTGCCCTGCCTTCCCCACGTGTCCGCCTCCTTGTTTTCTCACGCGTGTGTCTGAGCTCAGCATGTGTCTTTTCTGCACACCTTTCCCTCCAGCTCTTTCGTGCGGCGGGCAGCACGACACTGCCTCTTTCTGGTGGCTGCACAGGGCCCTGCGCTACGGGGACACCGGTTGACCCGGCCTGGGCCCTCAGGCTGTCCCAGGGCCTGGCTGCTGCCGACAGGCTGCAGAGGCCCATGCGAGCACTGGCCTTGGCCGGACTGTGTGGCGCTGCCCAGGCATCGGCTCAGCACACCCCATCTCTTCCGGGGATCCCCGGAGGGTGGACAGAGCAAGGAGAGGCTCTGGCACTAGAGGGGAGAGGGGCCTGTGGAACACTGGCGGGAGGCAGGGAAGTGGGAAGGCCGCCTCGCCTGGGCAGCGCTGCCGGCTCGGGGAGGGCAGCTCGGGGGAGCACAAGGCCCAGGAGGGACACGGGGAGGGGCAGCACAGGGGGGCGGGAGGAGAGCCCAGCTGTGCAGCAGCTGCCTGCCGGTGCCCGGGGCGCAGAGGCCGAGCTGGGGCCCAGGAGAAGGGGGTGCCCTGGTCGAGCAGGCCTGTGCACAAAGCCAAACAAAACTGCAGGCTTCAGCCTGATCCCTTGGGGTCTCTGGAGTGGGTCAGACCCACAGTTTGCACTTTGGGGCCCTTTGGTCCTTCCTTCCCCTCCCCCACTGGTGAGAGTCATCTGCTGGGGTCGTGGGGGTGGGATGATGGGGTTCGGCAGTCTCCATTTGACCTGCAAGTCTTCAGGGAAGTGGCGGTTGGGAGCAGCTGGGGCGGGTGGGGGTGCTGGCCTCCGGGTCTGGGTGGGCACCAAGAGCTTCACTACCCTCTGCCAGGCGGGTGAGCCCCAGGTGCCGGGATAACACGTCTTCCCAGCCGCCCCGCTTCCTGCAGGACCCCCGGGCAGGCCTGGCGGCAAGACCGCTGTGAGCCGGACTCTTCCGTCCCCTGGGCAGCTCAGCGCTCGCTGTCTCCCAGCCCTCAGGCTTCTTCTCCCTCTGCAGGTCAAGTTCAGGTCTCCCAGGCCCGCGTGTCCCATAGCTCTGTCCTCTCCGTCCCCTTCTCCTCCACTCCCTGGCTCTCCAGTCCACCCCGGTGCCCTCCTGAACCCATGAGCATCACTCCAGACCCTTGACCGAAAGCCCCTGGCCTGGCTCTGACTGGAAACGGGCCCTCGTTGTCCTGCGCCGCCCTGTGACTCTCCCTGCCTCCTCCTGGAACCCCAGGTAGCCTCAATTTCCAGGCGAGTGATTCCTCCAAAACCCACGACCTGCTCTCTTTTGAAGACCTGGGCCCCCACCTGCCCCATCCCCCGCCTCAGGGCACCCCGGGCATGGTGGACTCCGCAGCTTCCCCCCTCCAGCGAGGGGGTCCAGCCGCAGACCTTGCACATCGTTGCCGTTCAGCGTGCCCTCTCGGCCTCCTCTCCTGCCAGCTGTCACAGAGGGCACCCAGCAACGTGGCAACAATTCTCAGTCCCCCCAAGTCTTCTCTTGCACGAACACCCCCAGGAAGAGCTCCATGGTTGCCACCATCTGAGTCTTTGTCTTGCGCTTCCGCCCTGTCTTCCTCCCTCAGATGGCACCGCTGCCCTGGCGCTCTGTGGAATGGAATGGGTGGGGATGGGGAGGGTGGGGGTGGGGGATGGAGGGCTAGAGGGATGGGTACAAAATGAATTCCTCCCTGGCTTCCACATCGGTTCTAGAACTTGCCGCCTTTGAAAAAAGCCATGGCGTCAGGGGGCTCCTGGTGGTGGTGGGGCGAGGCGTCCTGGTGCCCTCACCCTCAGATCCAGGGCGGGCCCGGGAGTGCTCAGGGGGTCGGATAACGGAGGGTTTGGGGGAGAAGGCAGCTCTAACCCTCCTTTCCCAGGCTCCCGATGATTCCCCGCTGCCCCCCACCCCCCATTTCTGCAGATTCAGGCACGTGATCCCAAGGAGGGCGGCACAGCCGTGGCGGGGCGGCGGGAGCCCTGCCTCCTGGCCACCCCCGGAGCTGGCGCCCCGCTCCAGAGCCCCCGTGCTGGCAGAGCCAGGAAGCGCCTCCCAGCTACCTGGCTCACCCGGCAGGCACCTCACCCCACACAGGACAATTAACTTGTCCCTAGCACTCCTACCTCGTCGTCGACACGAAGCTCCCACCAGGCTGAAACTTGGCGCAGAACAGCAATTACTGAAAACACATTTTTAAAGAAGTTGACATTTTTGTGAGCGCTCGCCGCCCCCGCGCCCGCCTCCCCCGGAGACTGCACGGAGGAGCTTTCCGTGCGCCTCCAGCCTCGCGCGCGGCGCCACCACCCTGCACCCGGCCCTGGCTGGGCGGCCGGCCAGGCCCACCTTGCTGCCAGATGAACCGTCTCAGGCCGAGGGGCCACCACCCGGCCCCCAAACGCCTCGGGGAGCAGCCCAGCGCCCCAGCCGTGTTGGCAGGGAGCTGGTGAGCTTGGGGAAGGGCTTGCTGTTACCCCAGGCAGGTCACCGCTTCCCCAGGCTCAGCTGGGCCGAGGAATGGGGACAGGACAGAGGCTGGCGCTGATGGGGCAGATGGAAGAGCCGTTGGGGCTGGGCAGGCGCCCGGTCCCAGCCAGGACGGTCCCTAGAAGCGGGACTACCCGGGTTACAGATGGGGGAAGCGGCTCAGACGGATGGGGCCTTTTGGCCAAGGTCAACAGGCTGACCTCGCCCAGGCTGTGGGGCTGTGGGGCCTAGGCACCCTGCTCCCGCCCTCCTGGGCTGCCAAGGATGGTCTGCCTGGACTGGGCCCCAAGCCAGAGGCCTGCGTCCCCACAGCTCCACGCAGCCAAGGCCCAGCTCAGCCCACTGCCGTGCCTGTGCCCGCCGGTGCCCCTGTGTCCTCCCGCCGGCAAAGGTGCTGCTGAGGACAGGTGTGGGCAGCCGGCGCGTCCTGTCCTCGGAGAATCACCCGGGGATGGAACTGCCGCTTCTCATGCGTGAGAGGGCAGAGACCTGCACCCCAATTTGCGTCTTTTAGCAAAAGGTTGATTCCATGGTGGGGCTCCGAGGCGGGGAGGCAGCCCTCCCCCAGGCCGGGGCGACGCCTGTCCCGGTCTCAGGAAGACCCACTGTCCGCTCTTTCCACTGGAGAAGCCCAGGCCCTGCTCTGTCTCCCCCGCCCAGCTAAGCCACGCGAGGGGGATCCGGAGCTCGTGGGCCAGGTCCGGCCGGTCTCCCGTGCGGGGCGGACCTGCTCTCGCGACCTCCCTCCGCGCCTCCCTCTTGTGACCCTGGTGCTTGTTCCCTCCTCGCCGGAAGACCCCCGAGGGGAAGGGGCCTTCTCTTCAGCTTCAGCGGCTACCTGGACCCTTCCGGGGGGTGGTGGAAGGTGCCCGTGGGGGTGACGCCTGTGGGGGTGCCCGCCCAGCAGCCCCGTGCAGAGCCGCTGCCGGCCGCCCCCGACGCGTGCGCCCCGCATCAGCTGCCCGTGTTTCCTCTTTTTGGAAGTCCCCAGTCAGGCTCCTTAACCCACTTTCCCGCATTCTGCCTCTTCGTAGGATTCATCAAAGCCCTTGGCGCTTCACTCGCGCTTCAGCTGTGCCCGCGCAGACGTCGCCGAGTCCGGGGCAGCGGCAGCGGCGGCGCTCCTCGGGCGGGGTCCTGCGAGGACGGAGGCCTTCTCCCCGCTGCCCGGCTCCCCGCGCCCCGGCGCCTGACCCGGGCCTTCTCGCCGAGAGTAAAGCCCAGATGAGGCAAGACTCGTGTGGAAGACCAGCTGGAAACTCTTTTTTTCAATTGACTCAACATTTTTATTTTCTTACATTGTAATTTTTTAAAAAGATTTATTTTATTTTTTTATGCACACAAGAGCTGGGGTGTAGGACAGAGGTGTGGGGGGTGAGAGGACTCACCAGAGACAGAGTGGGGAGCAGAACAGGCAGACGGACTGAAAACGCTGCCGGGGGGAGCAGCGGGGAGCCAGGAGAGGTCTGCGGCGCCCTGTGGGTCACTCCCGGGCTGGGGATGGAACTCGCGCTGCAGAGGCTGCGGACAGCTTCATGGGTTGCGTCTTCACCCCTGGCGCCACGAGGGAGGCCCTACATGTAATGATCTTGTATATTATTCCTAGATTTTTGATCTCTTCGTGGCTGCTGGAAATTAT